GAGACAAAAACTCGACCAAAGTGCAGAAAACAGCTCAAGGCCACCAATGGGTCTTCAATACAGCGAGAAAATCCCGCAAACGGAGGTTGGCTTTAGCTGGCCCCAAAAAAAAGTATATACTGGTTCAGAGAAAATGGACGTCACACTAAACTCCGAAAAATATAAATGAACCAAAATTAAAAAAAAAAAACATGTTTAGTATTCCGAATAAGATGAACAGTCATGAGGAAAACTATAATATACGCGAAATAGCAGTAAATTGATCTGATCGCATGTAATATCACTCGAAAAAAACCTGATCTACACTCGAAAAAAGTGGACCGATTCACTCGAGAAAACACGATCTCCGCCGGACACTATACCTACCGTGATTCTGCTAATAACCAAAAATTGATTCTAAAAAATATCTTTCATAATATTTGTTGATGTTTTTAAAATTATTTTGAGTAATTATTCGTTAATATGGGAGACATTGTTCGTATATTTGTAGTTTGGTCTGGATGGAACATTGTCTCCTTTCTTTCTTTCTTTCTTATGTATAAGCTTCCTATCTTAGGAATACCCCTTAATGGGTAATAGGGAATATTTACATAAATGGGTAAGAAAGTAAATTTCTTAGTTTTTAAAAGTAATTTAAGATATGGATTTGAAATTAAAAACAAAAACACATTGTCTCCTCGACAATCACAACATATCTGCTTATTTTTATATGCAAAGTGTCGTAATGCCTAAAAATGAGGCTTTCTTGTATTGCAAGATTTTTTCAATTTTAGATTTTTTTGGACTGACTTTTCTGTATCAGCAAATGTTCGTTTGCCAAGCTAGCTTGTTCAGAGTATATTTTATTTTAAATCATTTCACAACAAATTATCAAATACCAATCTTTATTTCTTTACACAGTCATTCTCATTTATTTAATACAAAGCGCTGTTCCTTTGCTTTGTTGTGTTTTCTAGTGTACATGTACTGATTTTGTGTCATGGATGGAAACCCCATATCCTTTGTTTTCCTATCATAATTTCGGTTTCATCTATTCTATTGGAAGATATTTCACTCACAACACTGTAATAACAATTTTACTTAATTAAGGTCGTTCAACTTTCAGTTCTATGTATCTAATCTAATTTTCAGAAAATATAAAACCTTAATCTAATTTAGTTTATTGTAAATTGATGTAACTTCAACAGACCAGTGCAAAGCAATCATTGCAAAGGCTTGTCACAGCAAACACAGGAAAATAATATCTGTTTCCTATGTTAATGCACTCATAAACCACTTTGGTTAAGCATCCCAAGGTCTAAAAATGGGACTTTCTTTTAGTTTCCGTAATTGCAACAGTTTTAATTATGGATTATTTTTGAGAGGACTTTATTTTAATAGCTCATGTTCCGATTGTGGAAAGTAGTACAGTATGTTGATAATTTAGATAAAACTAAGATGATCAAATAATAAAACATGCAAATAATCAAAAATGATTACGATTCTAATATGAAATAATACAAAGACTTCGTTTGTTAGATCTGCGCTGTAGTAAATTGTTTGTCCTTTCCTTGGCGGGCTTATTCCGTCCGGCTGTAATTTGACAACAATCCTAACTTGGATATATACAATTACTGTACATTGTCGGAAAGTATAACATTTATTTGTAAGAGCTAACGAAAAAGGAAGAAAATCGAGGCTTTCGACATTACAGTTAGCTCAACATAGAAGCAGGCTAACAGCAGACAGGCAATTTATTTGAATGCCTATCAAATGTGCAATAGTAGTGCAGACTAAATAAAAAAAATGCCCAACAACATTTGATCAGCATATTTGCGGTTGCAAATATTTCGTCGATCCTTCCCATAGTCGATTTTGATTATAATAATCTATTAAAAGAGCAGTAAGTAGGTCCCATCTTCTCAAATAAATATTTAATATGATGATATATATTTTATAAAACAGATTTTTTTCCATCTATCCCGCCAAACAGTTTAAGTATCACGATTTTTTTTGTATGCGCAAAATATCTATATCCATTTGGAGGAGCGATAACAAATTAATGAGTTCTTTTAGCTGTCACTGAAAATACAACCATCCCTAAACAAAAGCAGGGACCCATTTTACAAAATACCTGACGACTAAAATCAATCAATAAATTGAAAAAAGTCGAATGTAGCATACATTACCAGAAAAATGTTAACAAGAACTTTTTAGCTATGTAATTTGGTAAAACAAACTTAAGATGATAATTTAAGAATTCACAATGTGTCAAATTGTTATTTTATGAGGTGATTACTTTCATCTTTTCAATTCTAATTTACTTTATTCTGCGAATTAATTTACTTTCTTCAATGTAGTTTTACTTTCAATTTCTGTATTTCAAATATTCGACCGATTTTTAGTAAATCGGTTTTTCTTCTATTCTATAAATGATTTTCAGAAATTTAAGTTTACTTAACCTACATGTATGAGGCAATTGACCTTATTTTACCTTTAAATCAAGAGCAAATTAAAAATAGAACTAATTCACCCATATTTGAAAGTCACTGACAATTAGATGTTGAAACAGAACGTTAACTTATTGTTAAACCAGGGATCTGCGGGTATATAGGTCATTACTAAATATAATAACCGGTCTTAAGTATTATATCAGTTAATGATGACAAAGCACATCAGATATAAATATACATGTTGTAAATGAAGGCTGTTACAACTGCCATGTTTGTTGATGGATAAAAATCCCTGCGTACAATTTTCATAACTAAATTTCCTGAGGAACATTCAAGAAACGTTTATTAATATTTGGCCAGTATTTTCAGAGGAAAGATTTAAAAAAAAGTTAATGATAAAGGACGCCAAGTGATGGCAATGTGGCCTGAAAATAGTTTTAACTTTACTTCAACATGCTGTTTGCCTGATCAGTCAGGAGTGACGTTAGTGGTTATGATCTTTAGTTAAATTTCAATAGGTTTGTACTTTTGATGTATTTGTTGTTTATGGTAGGTCTGTCATGGTCTCAGTTATATATTGTTAATGGCAGGTCTTTCATGGTCTCTGATATATGGTGTTAATGACAGGTATGTCATGGGCTCTGTTATATGGTGTTAATGGCAGGTCTGTCATGGTCTCTGTTGTATGGTTTTAATGGCAGGTATGTCATGGTCTGTAACTTAGTGTTAATGGCAGATCTGTCATGGTCTGTTACATGGTGTTAATGACAGTTATGTCATGGTCTCTGTTATATGGTGTTAATGGTAGGTCTGTCAGGTCTCTGTTACATGGTGTTAATGGCAGGTCTGCCATGGTCTCTGTTACATTGTGTTAATGGCAGGTCTGTCATGGTCTCTGTTATATGGTGTTAATGACAAGTCTGTCATGGTCTGTTATATGGTGTTAATGGCAGGTATGTCATAGTCTCTGTTACATGGTTTTAATAGCAGGTATGTCATGGTCTGTAACTTAGTGTTACTGGCAGATCTGGCATGGTCTGTTACATGGTGTTAATGACAGTTTTGTCATGGTGTCTGTCACATGGTGTTAATGGCAGATCTGTCATGGTCTGTTACATAGTGTTAATGACAGGTCTGTCATGATCTCTGTTACATGGTTTTAATGGCAGGTCTGTCATGATCTGTTTCATTTAGTCACAACTGGAATGATTAAGAGCTGACAAATATTGCATAGACACTTGTCTTTAATTGTTGAAGATTGTATGTTAACTTCTAGTTATCTTTTATAGTTTTGTGTAACATTTAACAAACAGTGAAAACCTGAATTTTAACTGAAAAAAACTTAATTAGTTGTCAGACTTACATGCTTTCCTAAAGTGGAAGCTTTTATATTTGGCAAAATACTTTTTCATACATCATATGATTGTACTTTGCTCTTGAAAAGATAACTAATCACTGGTTTAAAACTTAAGACAAATACCTACCGGATACTTAATTATCTATCATGTCTATAGTCCCATGTAAAAAATAAACAAAGAAGGCATAAAATGTAAGAAAAATCCTTCTGATATTTATTTCTTTAGACAAACCATTCAGTTTAATATGTGACTACCTGATTCATATTTTGTTACGGTTGAAAAATTGTCTAGTGAGTGGATGAAAATTATTTTTATCAAGGTCGGGGGTTCTAAATAGATCCTAGGATATTCTGTTCCTTATAAACTTGAAATACTTTTTCACTATACAAAGAATGAAAAACAATTTCTCAATCATATGATGATATTACACCTCAACATTTCTTATTCTTTCAAATAAACTTTTGAATCTTATTATAAAAAAGAATATTTAAAACAAATTCCTATAAATCTTTTTTTTAAATACTATTATTGATACCTGTGACAAATACCATAAAAGTAAGGTGTTCAGTAAAATCAACAACATATTGGGTACAATGATCTAAGCTGTTTTGAAATTCATCTTAATACTGTGTATATTGAATTTTGATTGATAGTAACTAAACAAATAATAATTAAGGTCAGTCTAATTTGTTTAACTAATAAAGATTAAAATTGCTTGAACTTGTTCTTTGATTTTTTAATAATTTACCTTGAAAATTGGTAAAAAAAAATCCACATATCACATATCTTCAAGAATTTTGACTCCATATTATCACAATTATTGATTGCTAAGTAAAATTCACCAAAGTGTACAGTAATATCAATAACTGTGGATTTACTGTGGATTCAGTATTATTCATGGGATACCAATTTTTGTTGATTTCATGGGTTCAAGAAGTACAAATGTTTTATAGGCTTGTATTCAGACTTTTGTAAAACCATGAAATCAAATATTCATAAGGACTTCCGTTAATTATGAAAATTGGAAGCCATGAAAATAAATGAATCCACAGTATATAACATTGATTAATTCATAATTTCATGTTTTTGTAGGTACACTTGAACTTGAAAATTTGTAAGTATATTCTCTTTCACTTCAGTTTTTACCAAAATGCCCACTTGTAGTTTGTAGAATTGAAATAAAGAGGAAAGACAAAAATAAGACAAGCAATTCCGTATTTCATACTGTATTTTATTTACATAGATCTACAAAATCTAAAATTTGAAGAGAAATAACTATACATTTATATATACAGAAACCTAACAACCTAACAAATCCCTTCCAATATAAGATATCGATAAATAGTAACAATAATTGTAAGTACAATTTCTCCCTCGTTTTACTTACTTATTTAACATTCACCATTGGTATAAATAAAATTAAGAAAAGTTCTAAACCGGTACATGTATAGTATAAGTCATATTTTAGTGGTAGACAAATGACACTAAAATAGTTTATTAGCACTTTTTTAATATCAAAGAGAAATCAATTACAGATGAAAGGAATTCTGCAATAGTCAATATACATGTAGGACATATTCAATTTCCACATTTGTATACTCCTATATTTAAACAAAGTAGAAACAATAGACAGAAAATTCCTTTAACACAGTTACGTGAATACTTAATTTATGTCAGAACGAACAGATCTTTGTGTACTTTGGTAAAATTTTTAAAAATCTGAGCTGTTGCATATTCCCTCCTATAATTTCAGGAGACAAGAACAACTGCTGATAAGTAAAATCTATCATTATAAATTTCTTCTAGTATCATTATGATATTTTAGGAGATTCAGATTTTTACAAGACAATGTTTTTTAAATATTTAACATAAAATTTTGACCCAAATATAGGTGCTAGTGCTACTGTTTCTTCATAATAATTTATGAATAATAATTTATATGAATGCCCCAACTCAAGCTTTGCAATTTTTCAAGTAAAAAAGGAGCATACCTCTAGAACAGTAAATGACTCACTGCCCAAATTTAAACTCTGTCTGTGTGTTGTGGTACTTAGTATTGTGTATGTGTTTCAGAAAAATTTGGATGAGGCAAACTTAAGTTAGAGTGCTGAAATGAAAAAAAATTGCAATTTTCCAAGTTATAAAAGGGGCTCAACTCTAGAACAGTAAGCGACTTATTGCCTAATTCCGAAATTCTGTGTGGGTTTTCATTGATTCTTAGCATTGTATATGAGTTTCATAAAATTTGGAAGAGTAAAACTTGAGTGTGGAAACGAAAAAATTTGCAATTTTCCTAGTTATAAAGGGGCATAACTCTAGAACTGTAAGTGACTTACTGCCCATATCTAAACACTGGTTTTTAGCATTGTGTATGCATTTCATAAAATTTTGATGAGAAAGAGTGAAAATGGGACGGACAGGTGGACGCTCAAGGGTAACACTTTATGCCCCCATTGCTTACGGCCGGGGTATAAAAAAGGAACAAACACTAAATGGCAAACTATTCAGTTTGTCCTCAAATATGAAGTTTATTTCAAACCTGGATTTACAGGAGGAAAACATTTGTATTATTTTTATATTATGCTAACACAAATTATGTAAAAGAATCAGATCCCCATTCTTTTATACTAGCCCATTACAAGAAATCAATACACAAGGCCAAACATTTCTCTGAATTTTTTCATTAATGAATTTACAGGAAAAAGTAACTTTAAATAAAATAAGAATGCATGTGTTGACGTGCTAAGCATACCCTAAATGTAATTCAAAGTATAGGAAAACAGGAAGAAGGTGTCTGACAGTTCTGAAAAGTGAACATACATTAAAACTCATCAGTGTTAATCTGATGACCAAATATTAAGTCATTCTGTTCAATACTTTCTGAGAGAAATGCGACAAAATATTTTTGTTGGACAAATGAACAGACAAGGTGATTGCAATAGAGTTTTTTAGAGTGGGGTATGATATTGGGGTAGATTGTATTTTTTAGAGTGGGGTATGTCTATGATATTGGGGTAGATTGTATTTACTGGAGATACGCCTTGCTAAACCCACTGTACCATCAACGTCTTCAATTATGCCAATGTATACATATATATATCCTGTTCTAATAAAAAAATACCTTTTGTATTTTCCTAATCCAAAATAATGTCTTGATTACTTTCTACTATTTACTGGTGTACAACAAAAATATATATTATGACCGAAACCTACATTGCATCTTTTCTGAAATTGCTTTTAAATGTATAAATATTATTTTCTTATTGCACAAAATAATACACAATACCATTCTGATATTGTAGTATAATATGTATCTATATACCTATCTACTCTCCTAACATAATATTTCTATATATACATTAACACAGAATTATCCATAAACAGTGGAAACACTTTCAAATATTGTCTGCAGCTGGACAATGGCATCCCACTGTGTAAAAAAAATAGTTGCAGTTGCATTAAAAACATACAAAACAAATATTTCCCGTAATACTTTCATTTTATTTTTTTGTACTTAATTTTTTTACCTTGTTACATTTCAATTTCAATAGCTTTTTATTCTTTGAATAGTTTATATGACATTGCTGGATCCAGTATATCAATTTAAGCATATCTGGCAAACCAAATCATAAGCCTGGGATCTTTCAGGAGTTCTTACTAAAGCTTATGATTTCACTTTCCAGATTTAAACTAATTAATGTATTTATTGGGTTCTTGGTTTGATATTTCAACATTCTGTCCAAACAATTAGTTTGGATTTAGAGTATCTTTGGTAACTGGTTTAAAGATAGGGTTTACCATCATTTTCTGTTGATAACTGGAATGTCAAGAAAAAACAATCACTTTTGAAGACTTGGCAGCAGTCCTTTTGTGCCTCTTGCTACTTTTGAGATATATTGTATGCCCAAAATTTTATTTTCTCAAAGTTATACAATTGAACCAAATTACCTGTATGAATATTTGCCAATTAACTTGTGTTTACCAGTTACCATGGTTACCCTAATAAATCATCATACCTTATCATACTAATGTTTTCAGAAAACATAATTTTCATTTTTTTTTTATGATTCAAAGATTCATGATTATTTACACGTCGATTCAGTTAAGTAACACAGACTAATTCACATAAAGACTTATCAAACTAAATCTATCACAGTTCTTGAAAGACTACTGTCAAAATATACATTATGTACAATGCTTAACTAGATAATCTAACATACTTTTATACAAGAGATAACCAAATGACTATAAATGTAAAATATTTTTGGTCAAATGAAGCAAAAAGAAAATAGAAAAAAAAAGGTTATAACCAATAATTACCATATTGTAACAAACAACCACTTGTGAATATCAATTAAGCAATGGAAGCCTTCTATGTATTCATTTATATTCAAAATATACAAATTTGTATGGAGATCTTCTGGCACATACATTTCTCAGTCATATGATTGCTTTTTTTTTTTGAAGATTTTCGATGTACAACACCACTATGCCACTGTTTAGATACTATTGTTTCGGACATTTATAACCAATCACAAATGTCTCATGTATTTTCTTTTTAATATTTTCGTGAGATTCAGAAAATGGTGAATTAGTTGACATGAATAAATGTGTATCCACAGCCCTTTCAAAAAATAAAGTACATAGATTATAAAGAGCATACATAATGAAAAATTTATAATCTTAAAAATATAAATTGAGAAGATAAAATTTGATATGTACAGTATCCATACATGAAAGTATAATACCTAATTAAAGACAGACTACAAACTCTGATGTCTTATTCTATTACATATAACTATATATGTATAATCATATAACCAAATGTTACCAAATGTCAGAGGTATTTTAACAGATTTAAAAAATGACAAAAGTGATAAGCAACCTTTTCTTTGGAACTAACACTACAGATAAAATGATTTCATACCATGGAACATACTGTGATTACAACATCAAATAAACCATCAATCAAAAATAAGGTTTATAAACACAACTAAGTTTTAGAGCTATATAGTAAACCTGTCTGTATGTTAATGCCCATAATTTGTTTTAATCCTGAACAAATCATAACTATATTTTATTTAAAGACAACCAGACATACTCATAATAAGTCATCATAAAATTTAAATTGACTAAAACAATATTAGTAATTTTATCTGATGTATTGTTACACAAATAAAAGTAAAACAAAAACAAAAACAACAATCTCTAAAGAAATAATAAGATCTGAAGGGTTATCATAATTGGACATGTATCAAATCATAAGATCTAATTTATTACATTGACAGTAGTGTAAAATTTATCTGATTCAATATAAATTTGTTTTAGTTATTGCATACAATGTGTTTTTTCTGATGTAGTATGACTGTATTTTACATAAATACATGATTGATTGATTGGTGTTTAAGGTCACTATTGTGCTTTTTTCTGATGTAGTATGACTGTATTTTACATAAATACATGATTGATTGATTGGTGTTTAAGGTCACTATTGTGCTTTTTTCTGATGTAGTATGACTGTATTTTACATAAATACATGATTGATTGATTGGTGTTTAAGGTCACTATTGTGCTTTTTTCTGATGTAGTATGACTGTATTTTACATAAATACATGATTGATTGATTGGTGTTTAACGTCACTATTGTGCTATTTCGTGGTGGTCAATAATATGGATGAAGCCAGAGTGCCCGGAGAGAACCATACATTAATACAAAAATATCATAAGATTCATGTTTCTCTGTTCTTATCAAACAAAGATTAACTTCAGTTTCTTTTGTAACTTGTATCTATAAAATGTACAAGTTTTCTATAGTTTATATTGTCTATTGAATATCTTTAAATCTATAAAGACCTTTAAACATGATGAGACACCAAAATTACTCCTTTCAGAAAATTATTAAATATTTTGTAAGAAAATATATAGCTTTTTACCATACAATCATAAATCAACTTAACAAAGAATTATGAACTATGCTTCATACAGAAGTCATAACCATATAATATTCAATTTTAAATCATAATATGTAAGCTATGATTATAACAGCATAATGCATCACTAAAATGTTATTCTCTATCATATGGCCTCCAGGCTATCTCGTGTTTAATTAGGAATTTGTGTCAACAAAGTAGCCACGTGCCTTTCTATTTAGAGAGCAAATTTAAATAAAAACATCCAGGTGACAACCCCAGGGAGTATATAACCCAGAGTGCACTACTGCCACATGCTCTTTGTTCAAAAGACAATGTGTACGTTGAATTTTATAGTTTATTGTCAATTTCACTATGGATGAAAATTCTTGCAACTAAAGCAAAATTAGCTTAAAGAGCGACATAAAACCAAATTACGGGAAAATGGGTAGCATGCCTTGCGGAGAAAACTGCTACCTTTGCAAACAGCATGGTAAGAACAGAAACGGTGAAAAGTCATGCTAACAACTATCAATTAAAGATTAGAGACAATATAGCATGTTACTCCAAACAATGTAGTATACATGATTGAATGAAGAATATGCCAATTACAATATGTAGGGCAAACAGGAAACACACGGAAAGAAAGATTTAGGGGACATTTTCAAGATATCAACACAGGAAACAAATATAAACCAGTATCAATACACTTCATGTCACCTCTTCACAATAGACACGACGTAACAATAACAGGCATCATTAAGACAGCAACCGATGTAAACATACGCCTACGAACAGAAGAAGCCTGTATAAATAAACTATCTACAGCAGAACCCTGGGGACTAAACAAAAGACACTGAAATGGCTAAAACGAAAACCACGCCAAGGAAAAAGAACAATGTCACTACAAACGGGATTAATTGCACTAAATGCAACAAGAAACTAGCCAACATTGTAACTCTAAAAAGGCACAACCGTAATTATCATGAAGACACGGCCAAAACTTTCACATGCTACTTGTGTGATGCTAATTTCACCAGGAAATACAATATTAAGAAACATATTCGCAGAAAACATGAAGGAACCGATGAAGAAAATTTTACTCAAACATCAGGAACCCCGAAAGAGATAGCCACCCAAATTGAAAAATGGGTGCCACCCTTTGAAGCACGGAAATGGGATTTTAACAAAGAAACCAACCTTCAGAGTCATTCCAGGAAAACCTACCGTAACATACCCAGAAAAGCAAACCACTAGAACAATCATTTTAGAACATGATCTTTACTTATCTGACTCAAAGAGTACCATTAAGTCTCAAAATCAAGGCCCAACAAATTGATTGGAATAAATATAGAATCAACAGGTATGGATATTTAACAGAAAAGAACAACCTCAACAGGGATACATACCATCACTATGAAAGCTGGGATCAATACACCATGAATAACTACAGCTATCTACAGAAGACTACCAATATGAACAATACTTCAATAATAGACTAAACAAAGGAAGAAAGTATCATTGACTTAAGCAACAGTAATACCACCATGTGCTTATATTATTACATAGAACTCTATAATAATCTATTTATAACTATAACACTTTCGTTTTCAATTTTATTTTTAATCATTCTATTTTTACATGTATACATTACTAATACCTACCATTTTTAACTGTTACGTCACTTTAGATGTACCACTTTAGGGTACTTCATACACATTAATTCTTATATAAATTGTCCTGATGACGCCTGCCTGGCAGGCGAAACATGTAGACCATAGTAAATAAAATTGCTGACCATTTGAAGTGTTGTTGTCAATTTTGATTATTATTCAAGTGTTGCATTCATTTGCATGATTTGACAACCCCGCATACCAAGGTATCCACTTCAGGGACTCTACCGAAACAAATTCACAGGTGTTGCTTCACCAGACGAAGTTCAAGCAAAATTAGTTCAGTGGAATCTAATGATATAGATCTGACAGTGCTCAATGATACAGACCAGCAGGAAGAAAGTTTCTGTCTTTGAGCCCGTTGAAAGTGCCAGTGTTTCTGGTTTAGTAGAGCCCAATACTGTGACAAAAAAAAGGGTCAAAAGATTGCACGACATGCTCATGATGTTACAAAATAGATGGAAATTGTCGCAAAGGGACCGGGAAAAGGTCCTGGAAAAAATACCAAGGGAAACGCACCGTTAAAAAGGAAAAAAAGTAAGTGCTCCTCTTAAAATTAAATCTATTAATTTTTTAATCATTCAGTAATGTCCAAATGCTTGTGCAAGTCAAATTCTATCCATTAGCCAATCTGCAAGTAGGCAGGAAATTGAAAGTATGCAAGGTCAAGATGACAAAGAGCATCTCAAGTCTAGTGAGGGATATGCATGTGGTATGAATAATGTCTTTTCTAGTGCTGATCCCAATGAAAATCAGATAAGTAAAACCGATTCAGCCGGAATTGAACTACCAAAGATTTTGAGGAGTAGACAAAATTTTCAGACCCTGAAATGGAAAGTTTGGCAGAGTTTGTAAACAATGCATGTATCTGGAATCACAAACATTAGTAAATTTCTTTAGGATAAGCAGATCCCAAGTAACTGTAAGTCCTTAGTTCCTGCAACTATTAACACTAAAATATGGAATTGTCTTTATAGGAACATACAGCCAAAGAGACTGCAGTTTACAGGAAACTCAGAAAATCTTGGGGTTGTTAAGTATTGTGCCAATGATTCAGATAGCTGAAATTCTTAGGGGTAATCAGATAGACCTTTCAAAGTTTAAAAGAAGCTCATAACGCAAAGCATTGAACTGGCTAGTAATGCCTTCTTTGAGATTAATATATAGAGGAGATATTTCATTAGACCCTACATATCGAAAAAATTCCAAAAGCCGTGTTCAGTCTTGAATCTGATAGAGGAACACTTGTTCCCAAATGATGTTGGGGAAAGGATAAAAGAGATAGCCAGTGTTCATTTTCTAATGATGTTTTATGAACCATTGATTGATAATTTTTATTTGCAGTGAACAGAGTAACATTGATGCGAGGATTCCGTTGGATGGAATACAGTGAACGGAGTAACATTGACGCGAGGATTCCGTTGGATGGAATACAGAGACTATTGACTGTTTTGATATAACAGAATACATTTATTGTTTTCTTTGTGGGATATTATAATTTTTTAATTTTGGATTACCTTAATGAAAGGTTATTGATGGTATTATGTTTTATTCAAGTCCTTTTTTATATGATTTTTTGGGCTTTATTAATTCCCAATTAAACAAGGGATGGCTTGGAGGCTATATGATAGAGAATACAAACCTCATCCAAGCATCCAGGTGATGTGATGGATGAGGATTATTCTCTGAATAAGCCTTAAAGCTTCAAGGATTTAATTTCCCTCTAAGTAATGTGGACAATGCCTTATGCAACAAATCTTTACTTTAAATAGACATATGTTGGGAGCACGTTCTGGGTTATATACTACTCAGGGTTGTCATCCGATGCTTTTTTATAAATAAGATCTTCAAATAGAACGGCATGTGGCTACTTTGTTGAAACAAATTCCCAATTAAACCCTTGAAGCCTTATGGCTAATTCAGAGAAAAATACTTATCCATTAAATCCACTAGATGCTTAAATGAGGTTTGTATCATCATTGTTTCCCTTTCTATTTGTTAACCATTTTGACCTGTCAAATATTTTAACAGCTAGCATATGAGACACCCAAACTAAATTATAAATGGTTTATGTTTGATTAAGGTCCAGTTGCAAATATTTTATGCATATTCAGGACAACCCGAATTAAATAGTAAGTTTTTTTTAAAGAAAGAATCAACAGCCTATATATCTGAATATAAAGACATGGTCCTCATAAGAATACAATTAAGACTTTCTAAAATTGTTTGAGAATTATAAGAGAAACATAATAGTCATCTTTCCAAAATATCTTTGTTGCAAAAAATCACAGTTCTCAAATTTAAAGAGAACATTTTCCTTGAACACATTTAATCACTAACTTTTTGACAGACATTTGATACTAACACAATATCATAATACCACAACAATATTTGCTCTTTAAAAAAAAAGAGTACAACCAGTGAAAATGACAAAGTGTATCTGTGAGATCTTTAGGAAACTGACCACATTTACACAAGTTTTATTTCCGGACTATTACAAATGTTTTAGTGTACAACAGATATACTTCAAAAGTATAAGATGTGACCTACATATTGTACTTAAGATTAGTACAGTTTTTATACTTATATGCTTGAGATATCCAGATTGTACCTCCAACGTGCATACAAACTAGCTATCGAAAGTACTGCAAACCAACTGTAATCATAAACTTTTCTATAAACAATTCTGAATCCAGCACTGCTATATGTGCTGCTCTGCCTATAATTGTGTTTGCTGTGCTGGTCAAAGCATGAAAGACATCATATCGTACCAGTTTACAGTTTATGTTATTAACAACTGGAGTCAGTATATTAGCAACCATCTCACTGTATATAGCACCTGTCAAATAGAAATTAGCATCTTTGAACTGTGGTGTCAAATCACAGAAAAAAAAAAGCATTTGTAACAACCTAATGGTTTTTGTCTTTACAGAACTAATAGATCTTTAATATGATATTCCCTCTTCATATAATGTAAAAAGTAAATAAATGAAGAATGTGTCCATGGGACACAGATGATGCCGCTGCTTGCATATAATGTTATAACTTGAGAACAGTAATGCCACCCAGATTTGAACTTGATCTGTATTTTGTGGTAATAAGCATTGTGTATAAGTTTCATAACATTTGGTTGAGGCAAACTAAAGTTAGAGAACAGAAACCAATTTTGGGACGTACGTACAGACAAGGGTAACACTTAATGCCACCTCTAGTGATGGCGGGGACATAACAAACAAACGAAAACTAACACAAATTAGAAGAAATAAGTGTAAGTATAACAGAACAGGGTTGTAATCTTGACTTGAAATCAACAAACACACATCATACGATCTTGTGATGTCTTCAATTCTATCACACATGGAAACTAGAAAACTGTGAGTAGATTTCGTTTTATTTAACTGGCTCTTGGCTCTTTGTATCTAATTTGCTAAGTCTTTGTATTATATTGTAAACCCCAAAAATCTTTTTGATAAAAATTAAGTAGAAGGTGCACAATTCCATTAGTTACTTAATTCTGTGTGTTTACGAATAGCTGCAGATACAAAATGCCTACTAAGAAAGTTTCACTGAAATCCATCACTGGTTTAAGAGGAGGTATGGTATATTCAAATAATAGCATTGCATTGTATAATTCATTCTGTAGATTAATTTAGAGATAACTGTATTGTATTTGAAGCTTTGCAGACGTCCATCGGTAGTTTTACTGTCACAAATTTAGTTTACCTGGCGACACATAGCGGAGACAGGTAAACGGGTATTTGCGACAGTAAAAATACCGATGGACGTCCGCAAAGCTTCAAATACAATACAATACAGTTATCTCTATTCTAATGCAAAATAAACAAATCATTCAATTTTAGTCATTATTTCTGTGTAAAATTTTCATTAAACGAAAATTCCGCGAAATGATGTTATCTTCTTTGGCGCCTAAACTAGGTGACGTCATAGGTGTGCTTCCGGCATCAAACTTAAACACCGGGCGTTTACTGGGTTCTTGTCCGCTTCAAAATGTAATAAAATTTGATGAAAAGAAGATTTGTAGGTCCAAATGTGAGTTTTTGTGCTTATTATTGGAGAAATTACATGTCAATATATTCCGGAATTCAAAATGTCGGCTTCCTTAGTTACAGACAGGGAGATTGAGAATTTTACGCTTGTCGTCATCCAATCAGAGCCATTGATACAAACTAATTGCATTAGAATTATCATTTGTAAAACTACCCTTTTAGACTTTGTGCTTTTATTGCTAGTATTGTTATGAACATAAATTTTGCAGCTAGGCACTTACCCATTCCAGAACTCTCTCTTTGTGCAGCTTTACACATTTCTATTCTGGAGGAATGGTATGGAACATATCTATCTTGTGATGATCCCACCAGTAACACATGTCGAAACAATTCCAAACCTGAAATCATAATGTCAAAACAAATCTCTTAATATTTGGTTTTCAACTGCATTTCACCAAAAAGACCTTTACACATACTTAAGAGAAAGAATCATGATAGAATGGCTTTAGTAATTCTATTTTAAGCACAAAACATTGAAGAGAAACCACATAGTCATTTCTTTGTGTAATAACCTATTAGTGGGTTTTAACAACTCTGTATAAATTAATTAAATTAAGTGAACCAACGCCTGGTAAATCTTCTGTCAGTAGATTCCATAAAGTGGATACCTCAGGTATGCAGGGTCGTTACGATAAAAACATAAAATGTAGAAGGTCCTATAACAACACCACTTTAAGGAATGCTCCAGTAATTTATTGAGACCGAAACATGTCGATCTCAAATAAATTACTGGAGCATTCCTTAAAGTGTTGTTGTTATAGGACCTTCTACAACTCTGTATAAAGATAATTGTAAAATATCAATTTGGAATGCAGATCTACATTTCACATCTATATCAATAGAAAGATTTGATTTTGATTTTGGAGATTACCTTTGGACATGTCTAACATCTATCAGTTTTCAGGACACATAAAAAATTGCTGTACCTTTTTTTAAAATTCAAATATCACTATTTTTCTGCATCAAAATGTGTACATTTCAAAATTTAGATGTATAATTACCCAGTAATATTCAAACTCTATTTACTGAGATAAACACTTTTTTTTATGATGAATTCCTTTTATTAGCACTGACAATAATTTATCATACATATTATGCATATTAGAACATATGTATAGCAAGAGATAGAGTATGACCATACATATTTTAGATATTTAATTAGAACTTAATAAAATTACCTTCATTGAAAAACAGCTATATAACTAAACCAATGCAGAAAGACCAAACAAGATTACAGGACAAAGACTGCTTTTTTTTCTAAAGCAAATACATATATCATATTATACTTGTTGTGGTTATGGCAGTAAAGGAATCAAGTTAAGGGTTCCAATCAATATTGTAAAAAAAGTTACAGCTATAAATTGGAACCAAATTTTTTATGCTTACCTGGTTTCTGACTTAGTTTGTACAGAAAAGATTGTCTGGGATCAACATTGTCCTTCAGTGATAACTGTAACAGGGAACCAGATTTATATGCTTACCTGGTTTCTGACTTAGTTTGTACAGAAAAGATTGTCTGGGATCAACATTGTCCTTCAGTGATAAATGTAACAGGGAACCAAATTTCTATGCTTACCTGGTTTCTGACTTAGTTTGTACAGAAAAGATTGTCTGGGATCAACATTGTCCTTCAGTGATAACTGTAACAGGGAACCAGATTTTTTCCACTTCTGCATAAACCACATTCCTATAAAGTTTTTAAAGCAAATTAATTAGAAATGAAGTGTAAAATATTGATTTATACTGATCTCTAAAAAAATAAAAATGTTATTTGGTGTTGTCAAAAGGAATTACAGACCAGAAATGATATACTTGTATGTTCTATTTATTTGAGAAAAAAAACCAAGACTTTACGCTCTAAAACGTTTAATCTTCAATTATGTACATGTAATTATCTTACACTCTGATACTAAGGTCATTGTCACAAAAAATGTTGATGTAGAAGAAAAAAGAGATTTTTCAATCATCCATGAGTTCATTGAATAATAAAGGCTTCAGAATATAACTTGTTTCCACCTCTATACTAACCCCCCTCCCCAGAGTCAAAACAATAAATTATCACTTCACTGATCAAAACATATTGATTTACCAGTTATCTCATTTACCTAGATAGATGTCTATCTTTTAGGGTATTAACCAAAGTAGTTCTAAATTGCTGCTGACAAAATCAACTTCCTGTGAAAAATACTTTGTCATGCAATGTGTGCCATATATCAAAAAGCTATGACTTGTAGATGCTGTGAAAAATGTGATGAAAATTGCATATATGTGTATGACATTTTAAAGATGTAAGTTTTTGGCAAACAGGAAGAAGACAAAAAGGAACTGAAAACATGTCCAACAGTATTGCATAACCAGATTTAGTTTGGTGGCATGTCTAAAGATACAATGACTTGTAGCTTCAGAGAATAAAATGACAATATGTATTACAGTCAGAGGTAAAAAAGTCTAACTCTATTTTGGAACAGGGGTAAAATATTAAGTCTGTAAATTTAAGCCTAATCATTGATCTATATAAAACCATACTTACCCATATTAACTAGTCCACTACTGTTGTACAATGTACCTAGATGAGGTCCAGACAGAGATAAGAATGTGTACAACTTTGGCACTAGATGTTTCAGCTTAGATCTAGACACTACAGATCTGATGATGAGATTACCCAGGGAATGACCAATAAAACTGTAAATACAAACACTAAAATGTCATTGTAGAAACTTAATAAAATTGAGACATTTTATCAATATACAGTTATTTACACATCAGACCGCACTGGTTTCCGGAACTTTGGATACACAAAACCAGGTACTTCATATCTGAGAAACAGGCAATATATGTCCTCAATTTTAGAATTCATTCAAACATTTTTGTATTATTAAAATTATCAGTCAAAATGTGTTCTACAAGGATCACCAGTCCTTCACCTTTCACTTGATACCTAAATTACCAAAAAATATTTTTTATAGTCTTATATTTTGTTTTAAAAACATATTCATTTCCAGTATGTTCTTTTTGACCCAGCCTGATTTGGTGGTGTTACATCTTATAAAGTCAATCCTTATTATTTTTGCAAAGAATTCTTATCAAGCCAGTGCTAGGAGCTGTCATAAACTTGCAGTGAGGGGAAAGGTTTTTTTTGCTCTGTGTTGAAGGTTCACTGTGACTTTGAGATGAAGAACAGCAATAAAAGCACTGTTCCTTAGCTTTATGTGTGTTTTTTGCTGTGCATGTACTGATTTTGTGTCATGGATTGATACCCCATATCCTTTGTTTTTTTTTATTATATACAAGTTAACTCGTATATACAGAACAACATACTCATGATCCTACAAAAAGATATTACCTTAGTTTTGTAACATTTAATCCATACATATCGATGTAAGCTATAATTTCATTGGCTAATCTTTCAGTCATTACATCAAAGTCTGCAAATGTGTCCTGAAATGGAATAATTTTTTTTATTAACTTTATATAATTGTTAATATACTAATCCAAACTAACTAGAAATAAATTTGTGTTCTTCTTTAAAATCTGAAGTAATCAGCTGAGGGTAATATTGTCACAAACAAACAATTAAATCTCATGAATTGCTTAAAATAATCTCAGGTTATATACAATCCCTGAATCTCTTTCTCTAATTATCTTTTAATAATATTAAGGCAAACTTTATCTTTATTATCAATGATCAGCAAAAAGATTATGCTTTCTATGTGATGTCATTAGGCACAATCACCTTTTTGGGGATGTCACAATAGCCAGATCAAAAGAAAAAAGAAATTTGAATTCATAATTGAAATTTGACCAATAAAAAACTGAGATCAAGCAAACTACACCTAGATTTAAATAAAATAAACAACTGTTCAGCAGAAATATAAATCAGACCAGAAAGAGAAAAATATAGATTCCACCACCGCATCAAGTCTGTTACGATATTTTTCCACTCGAAACAGGAAAGCCTTGCGTTCTAAATATTAAAATTTAACTGTTGAGAGGGGAGAAATATCGTAATACACGAGATATAGTGGTGGAATCTGCTTCTCTAATGATTTTAAGATGATATCTAAACAGGTCTATCCTTCCTTTTTAAAGATTAGCGTTGTGTTCTTTAAATGTGACGTCATCAGTGCCTTTTTTCCTGACGTCACAATAGGAAATTCAGAAGATATCAAGAAAATTTGACATCTTTATTGAAATTTAGACCAATCGTTTGCTGAGAACTAAGTTTTCTCTAGAGATGAGAAATAATTTTTCTCACACAGATCGAGACATATGAAAATAGCATGAAAATTAGAGAAATGATTTGACAACATGTTAGGACAGTGACTGTCATCAGAATGTCTGTTAACTTCAGACAATCATGCTGCTTTTTTAATTACTATATTGTGTTTCAGTAGTCTAGTGTCCTGATCTTTAACATATTTAAAGATGTATTAGCTGGCGAAATTCATGTCTACGGAATTCACTCAAACACTCAAATTCTGTGGACAGATTTTGGCAGCTAATGCCCCTTAAAGAGAAACATTTATAAACATGATAAACTGAATAAATGAAAGAAACTTGTACTAGTTCAGTATTTTAAACATATCATGACATAACTCAAGATTTTATTGGTTTGAATTTTGTAGCATACGGTATACCAACCTGGTTTCTTTCTGACATAAGAAATTCCAGTTTATACCCTGTTAGTCCCATCTCTATGTATGTTCTCACTAATCTTAAATCAGCACTATTACCTGTCAATACAAAGTTAGGCATTTACAATGCAAAAATAATACTTTAATATTTTGAAACTTATTTAATATTGTGATGAATATCTGTTCAACTGGTGGACATGCAAATCCTTTATCTTTTTGTGTATTAAATAGATATTAGAAGAGAAAAATTGCATATTTTCCTCCAGTTTATGACACAATAAATAGCATGCATAAATATTTGCAGAAAAACTACAATGGCAAATATGAATTGGGAAGCAAATGCTGATGGAAGGGAAATAACTCTAACTTCAATCATTCAAATTGACATGCACTTTTTTTAAAAACTAACAGAACTTCATATTTTAGAATTGATACTATATATGTTCTTATCAAAAACATACCATCTAATCCATGAACACATACAATCAAATGATGACCTTCACTGTCATCAACGCCATCAGGTGGCATCATAAAATATGGGATAGTTGATGCTAGGGTCTGGAATTCACTGAAAAAGATTAACTACAGTTTGTGTTGACATATATATAAAGAAAATGGACTCTGAGTGATACAAAGACTGTACTCATTTAAATTATGAAGGCAGGAATACCAAATCGAACCGTTGGCACAACTGAACGGTAGTGTTACTTACACTGAATACTAAAATTATAAGAGTATGTGAAATTCAATAAAGAAAATATTGATAGAATGTAGACTTCCATTGGCTCACACCAATTTATACTTTCAAGATGTCATTATAATTATTTCTTAGAAACCAGTATATGGAAAAGTATAAAAGAGGAAAAGCATTACAAATATATAAACATTTTTTAGGAATACAAAAAAATCAGGAATTTCAGTTATATCTGGTTCTACTGTCATCTCTATTTCTGGTATGTTGACCTTTCATTTGATAAAACAGTACTGACAAGTATATTTTATACCATATACTGTACATGTAGCAAGGAATAGGAAAATAACATATATGTGTTAACTCACCTATAAAGCTGCCCATCAAATTTCATTTGTTTTTTCAGATTCTCTCTTGCCTCTACAAAGCTGAAATTTTCAAAGAAAAGAATGGGTAAAAAAATGGAATATGGACAATTTTTGTCTCCATGAAATGTTTCTGATTTTTCCAATAGGCTGAATCAATATATTAAATCAGAAGATCAGACAAACAAAATGGTATAAAGAAATTAGCAATTCTCCAGGGGGAACCACAGAAAAATAATTGTTCTAGTTAAATGTTATTTACTTCATGCTACAGTACAGGTTTTGCTCATCATTGAAGGCTGTACAATTACCTGAAATCATGGTTGTTGTTGAAATCTGTTTTCTTTGTTCTTTGATGGGTAGTTTTCTCATTGGCAAGCCAACCACATCTCCTTGTTTTTATAAAGTTGCAATTTGTATGTTACTGTTCACCCCAAAACTAATGTTTATTCCATGTGACAAATCATTTTCAAAATAAATCATACATAGGTACTATGGAAAAACACAAGTAAAATTCATTTATTTATCTCCCTGAAAGTGATAAATGTGTTGTAAACTTGTAAACTTATTTTAGGTAGCAGAACTAAATGTGACATTTTCTCATTGCAAGTTTATTCCTATTATAAACTGTTAAGACAATTTAATATTTAATTTACAATTTTCTTTTTACTGTCACAACAGAATTAGCTCAAAACACATGATACATTATCATCTGTGTTTTTAAAAAGCAACTAACTTGTACAAAGGAAAATTAAAAAAATTGGGAATAAACCACAATAATCTGTGAAAGTGGTGAACATGTCAAAATGAACAACACATACTATGCATAAAGCTTTACAATAACAAAAAATATGATGTGTGTACTTCATGATTTCAAAATAAAAATATCAAGTGGATTGATCTGTATAAACTTTGGGTTATTATTGTCATGCTCTGAATCAGAAATTCTGAAATGGTGATCAGGTGATGAGGTGGTAAAAATGTGATAGGGATACTACCAGTGTTCGAATTTTTAAAGGAACAGAGGAGTCCTTTTGCTTCAGCCAGTACAAAACTTTATATTGTACCCAATTCAGGAAAACTGCAGACCTATTATGGCATTATGGGTTGACCTAAATTTTGAACACTGGATATGACATCACACACAAGTTATCAATTTTAATATTTGATATCAACAAAACAACCCATGAGGTCAGTTGATCTTAAATTTAAACAGCATTATTTCCAATAATACCTATCATGACTATTAATTATAAGGTTTTGTAAAATAGATGCTTAGCACATAGTTCTTCATTAAATGTACCATTCACATATGTTATAGATACTGGTTGCATATGTTACCTTGCCTCAATATTTGCCTTTAATACAAAAAAGAAGAGAAAAGTTATCCTTATGTGTGATGAAGTTTCATGTACTTTCATTAAAAGGCTAAACAAAATTAAAATAGGCATGTATCTAAAATTCTTATTTAAAAATCCCAGTCAACTGAAAAGTGATAACATGTACATACCCGACAAGTCCAACACCAAACCTGATACATATATGTCTATTGTTAATAAACTATTCTAATACATTATACTTGTATGTCATCAATACATATCCATGATAAAGTAGTAGCTTTGATCAGAACCAAATATGGTCTCTATAAAATTTCAATTAAGATTTAATGTTCATTATCACCATTATCAAAATGTATCATATGTAGTAAAAAACATGACTAGTAAAAAGGTTTTTTTTTTTAATTTTTACCGAGTTCTTTACATGGGCCATTTATGGTTGTATATGTATTTGATATATTCAGAATTACTCAATTTAAGTTTGAACATTTTGGAGGGATTTGGGAGTTCACTATCTACTGTCAAACCATCTCTACTGCTGAAGATAACTTACCTTAATGTTGCATGACCAATCTGGGAAACAAGTTTAGGACTTTCATTTTGTATATGTGATAAAAGTTCTGGATAAGATTTCGATGGATGAAAACCTTTGGACTCTGATGATGAATTCTGAATGGATGTTGTTGAACTTTCCAAACTTTTAATAATATTAGAATCACTTGATGCCCTATGATGTGCTATACTAGCTGCTTCTTCTGAAGAACTATCAGGCTTTGTCATGTTTGTATTGTCTGTTGACACCTGTTTAGATTCAGATGAATTTCTTAATCTGAGGTATTCGTCACGTAAGAATTCGGCGACAGTCATTTTTTCTTCCTGTTCATGCTCTGATTCATCTGAATCTTGAGTAATAATGCCACTGTCTTTGGAAAGACTAGGTGTAGACCCATTAGTATGGTCTGATCCTTTGCTTAGTTTATGAACAGTACTATTGACAGGCTTTTTAGTCTCTGTTTGGTCCTCTTTATTATAGTTTTCTAAAATGTCATCATATCCATTAGCCACACATGTTCCATCATCGCTTTGGTCATCATTTTCATCCACATCTGATTTTACATACCAATCCTCTTTCTTTCTTAAGGCCTGTGTAATATCATTAGCTAATTTACTACATGAAGACTGTTCATCAATTTTGGACAAAGAAACATTTTCGTTACAGATTTCTCCTGTAGCACTATTTATATCACAGTTAATATCACGTTCACTGACCTTGTCATCACCTTGTGTTAATTCACTCGTACCACCTACAGATTCACTCTCCCCAAGTGAATCTTCTTTAGACAAAGCTGATTCATCAGCAAAAACTTTTTTCCTAACACACACTTCTGAATCTGAATGAATGTGCTTGTTTTTCATTAATGCTGACTTGACTGACCTACGGTGAGTGTGGGGTGACTCAGAACTCCCCGCATATTCAGGTAAGGATGTAATGCTGGTTCTACTCCAGCTTGACCGAATGAAGAGGGACGGCATGGATGCTGCATTTGATAAGGGAGGATGTTCATTGTCATCTGCAGCTTCACCCCTGTTTGGGGCAGGACTAAATGTTCCCAGAACTATTGACTGTCTGGAAGAGGATCTAGTGTCAGTGGCTGTCACCGTCGTTGTTTGGTCAAGTTTTCTGTATCCAACTAGCATACAATCCTTTACAGGATCCTTGGCAGCAATTGCTTCAGCTTCAGAGCAGGAATAAGAAGATGGACGTTTGAAAGTATCTGGTCGGATATTCTTTATAAATTTCTTTTTCTGTTTACTTGTATTAGAACTGATTGAAGCATTTGAATTAGATCTACCTGCTTTTAGCTTTTCTGTTTTTTCTTTCTGTGATCCCTGAGTTTTGATTCGAAATTTTTCTGAAAAATAAAATGAAATGTAAGCATCCCCCTGAATCATTCAAGTTTATAAGTTCTATACCATACAAAATTAAGGACATGTGGTACATTCCACCAAAGACCAAAGGACAAGGATTTATACTCATTTTCATGCAATTAGAAGTTACACCTCAATTCATATTTAAAAAAAATCTATGTACATGCTAGGAAAAATACTAAAATTTACAACAGTTATTAAGGTTAATTCCAAATCCATCAATAGGATTGATTATTTTACACAGTGTGTCAAACCTGGAATATCATGGTTAAATTTTTACAAGGATTGTCTTCGATATACATTTTTGAAATCCCACAGATTTTAACAGTAAGAATGAAAAACACTTAATAATAAAAAAACAATTTGTTATGTTAACAGTGATTATAGTATTAGTCACAGACAACATAACTATATTAAACAAACCACGATCAACATGTCAATATCAACATAACAACATTCTTGGAAACATGTTGTGTCTGATGTGTTACTAATTACATTTTCATGTACTTCATGTCAGTAACAATTTGGACAAAAATAATTACTGTGAATGATCAATAACTGACACACTGATTCAATACATACTGGATAGTACATCTACACAAATTCCTTTCCCTTAATAAAAACACCCCAATAAAAAAATAACAGCTTACCAACATACTGGATGGTCTTAAACTCTTAGTCCTTCTCAAACTTTTATAAACTGACATTAAACTTCAAAATTTTTATCATCAAGTGTCAAATATTTCATAAATATTTTGGACAAGAACTAATAAACAATAATACCAATAGGTAGATTCTGAAAGGTATGTGGATTAGGATGAAGTACACAAATTTTGACTGCTACCTGAAAATGAGGGTATGTTGTTGGTCCAAAAGAGGCAGCATATTTATACATCTTGCACAGCAAAACAGATGCCCAAAATAGGTTTTAATGATAGTGGATGTGACATCATAACCACATTCAGTCAGTCAAGGGTCTTCAATATTAATAAAACAACCTGGGACATCATAACCACAGTCAGTCAGTCAAGGGTCTTCAATATTTATAAAACAAACTGCATTTTGCAATCAGAGACAGAAATTATCAAAATATGACTTGTTATGAACTTGCATATATTCTGACAGAAAAATGTATATTTGGATTATATGGAACAAGCAATGTCGATCACAATAACATTTGTTGCCATTATGTTCACTTCATTTTGGTCATGATATACATAATAATAAGTTATGACTGTAAAAACATATTAAACATAAGCATTAACTTCACCAGAATACCCATGAGAATAAACAAACAAATAAACACTACAAAATTGTCAAACATCACATGCATGGTGTGAATGATATACCACAAATAAAGCTCTGTGCTCTTTCTACTATTTTTCTACTCTGTGGTGGTGTTGATTCAACTGAAAACAGCCAATCATCATGTTAACAATCATAAATAAATTCTTGGTCTGAAATAAGTAACATAAATTCAATTAACATGGTGTTGGAATTTCTTTCAGGAAATTGATTAAAACTTACAAAACATATCATAAAAATTCATAACTATGGAAAGAAGACAAACATTTTAAGAAAGAGATAAACAAAAATATTATATTTGCCAGAAGGGATTGAATAGAAATTTATTATCAACTTTGTATCTCAACAATAAGTGTTAATCCACTGTTCCAAAATGTTAACTTGAACATTGTAATCACTTAAAAAAATGCATGCAATTAGAAGTTATTATCTGATTCAATTCTAAGCGAAACAAAGTTTATTATTTTTTGTTTGTTATTTAAAACTATCTGTTTTCAATATTCATAGTGTTAACTGCCAGAACAGATGCATGCTACATGTAATTCAGATAGATTTTTCCTGATTTTTTTTAGAAACACTTTGATATATCTATTATTTTTTCCCTTTGATCATTGAACCATGACTGAAGGTACAGAGCAAAATACCATTGATTATCATAAGTGGTTTCCTTTAAACTGACCCAAAATTAAAGTTAAACATGTAAACTATGCAAAAATTTCAAAGTCAATGAATGATGAGGGGGAGGGGCCATAATATATCCATGGAAATGATAATACAACTGCATTGACCTACTACTAGTGTTTCCCCTAAACTGACTTAATCACACATTTTACATTTAAACTAAGCGAAAGTTTCAAAGTCAATCAATGACTAAGGTGGAGATGCCAAGTGAACTCCATGGAAATGAGATGTGACAATGCTAATCAACTGCATGTCAAATATCATTGACCGACCACTAGTAGTTCCTCTTAATCTGACCTAATCACAAACTAATACATTGTTGATGTTTCTGCCACAGACACCTGAAACAGCACACCCAAGTCTTGCTTTTTCAATTTCATCAAGGCGAGACAAAAACACATTCAAGGCCTGTTCAAGTTAAAGCATGACTAGACAAACTCAATGCATGCAACAAAAAGTGTATACCTATGTCATGTCTTGCTTTTTTCTTCTAAATAGTCAGCTGTATTTAGAAATAGAGGTGGATCCAGGGGGTGAGGGGGCCTGGCCCTCCTTAATGCAGAAAAAATGTGTTTTTTAGTACATTTAAGAAAAATTGACAGTCCTGGATCCACCTCTGAGAATGTTTATGAGGTTTTTTGCCAAACTAATAGCTGTTGAAATGAAAATTGCTTTGGTAAGATATATATTCTTATAGATGTAAGTCTAGCTGTTCCTTGAAAACAATCCTATTTCATCAACTATCAATTTTTTAAATAGCTTCTGTAAAAATCTAAATAAAACTGACAACTTGCAAGAAAATTAATCAACACATGAGCTTCTGTCATCAATCCTCATACTGTGTAAAAATTTAAAAGAATCTGCTAAAAAACCTGGTGCAGAATAAATAATTATGTGACCAACTCTATGGTAACTGATTAAGCTTAACTCGTGAGAAATTAAGGTTATCAAAAGTTGCTCCCTTTCTAGATAAATATTTATTTTATTCACCAAAGAATTCTTTCCCCTAAATATCTTGCACCAACATTTGAAATTTCAAAACCCATATGTTGGAAATAAAGTAAATTTTTGAAGGAATAGAAGTTTACCAAACTTTGAGGAAAAAATTTATAAAAATATTTTGAGTGACTATCTACCTTACCATAAATTCAGCCTATTGATATCTATACATCTGTTCAATATAAATTCTCAGTCAAGTTTCAGGATTAAAACATTGGTACTTGTAAGTATGACCAGTTATATATGCGTTTATTACATTCTTGATTGATTGATTGTCGCTTGTTTAACATCCTATTACATTTTTGTAAAAGTTCAATATCACTGTCTTGAAAATATAAAGTATTGAAAACAGTTGTGCATCATCATAAATTGCAATTTTTTTAAAATTCATAAAATTATCTGACTATCCCTATAACCTTAAAAAATTCAAATGACAACCTTAATTTCTTTATATCTTCTTATTTCATGCAATTACATGAATGACTAGCTTTCTATTGATGATTGATGGTCACACATCATTATTTGACCAGTGGTCCTTTACTCACCAATTACATTTACATCACTAACATCGATTGCATTATGCAGATTATGTGTAGACACCGTCAATATTTGAAATAATTCAACCAGAGGTGATACTGGTAGGTCATCTGTGTTATCATAATTATATACAAATTTGTCAAAACATTTATAAATGGTAATCTGAGGTTAATAGATTGCATAAATTATATAGTTCTCATTACCTCCCATATGTTAGTAAAGTACATGTTATTGAAAAATCTTCTAATTTAATCAACTACAATCCTCATGATCTAAGAAACACAAATGATAATACCAGACTATTGTATTTCAATTTAAAACATTCGTATCCCTCTTACACATGCAACATCAAACCATTTATGTGAAATCAGCATAAATGAATATGTCCTACAAAATTCTAATTTTGTTAATGAACATAGATCATACCTACAGTCTTCTGGAAAATGGTATATTTGAACTATGATGATAACTCTTAGAAAATATAAAATGTTTGATTTTTACAAAAAACTACTTACTTTTGTTTTTGTTGACAAATTTTCATTTAAGGCATATGCTTGAATGCATTTTTATTGTCAGTACGATTTTAGACAATAAAATAAAGATGTGAATGAACTATTGATCCCCTTTATTAGTGAATTTGATTGGATCTCAAAAGATGGTAATCCATCAATCTCTCTTTGGAATCTATTTAAAAAAGCAGTTTAACTATATCATGTCCTTGGCAACAGAAATGACAAACTAACAAAATGAGCAGCTTTAAAGTAAAAACTTTTCCCCAACTTCAAAATTAGAAAATCCCCTTTAACATCTTTAACTCCAACATAATATCCATTCAAATTTCTTAACTCTACTTAAATCTACTCTTGGAATAAACACTATTTTCCAAAATGCAGCATAACTCCTTATATAAGTATAAACCTACCATTTGACATAGGAATGTGATCACAATAAACATCTTCAAAGATAATAGGTAGTGTGGTGTAATCTCCATCAATATCACAGATCTCTACTTGTAACGACGGCAGGTTTTGGAAATATCCTGAGCTCCGTACAATGTTACACAACTCAGCATGTCCATGGAAACTGTCAAATAAATAATCTCATAATTATTATCAATAAAGAATTAAACCTCAATCTCAATCATAAAATTTCATTATGTACTCAACTTTCCAACGTGACAGGTCATCTATTCAATCTAACCTCTTTTATTAAAGGTAGCGGCTGATTCAGTGCTATGTACCTGGTAGTTATAACTGTTACAGAATGTCCTTTCTAACAACATGTGTCATTCTATACAGTTTTAATCAAGCTTTAAGAAAAGAACTGTATTCCTTGATTCTATATTTAATAGTTCTCCTTTTCTATTGCAAACACAATTTTTAATCTTTATCTATTAAATTAAAAGAACAATCGTATGAAAAAATAAACTATCCTTTTCAAGTTATTAATCAAATATATTCAAAATCCCAGAAATACCTACATAACCTTTTAGTACATGTCTTTTCTGGTTTTAATGTATTTCCTGGTTTTATTGTGTTTTCTGGTTTTATTGTTTTCTGATTTTGTTGTTTTCTGGTTTTGTTGTGTTTTCTAGTTTTATAGTGTTATCTGGTTTTATTGTGTTTTCTATATTTCTTTTTAGTCATAAATGAAATTTGTCAGAAAGTTCATCTGATATGTTGAGAATATTTACTGTGTATTCATTTATTTAGTGGGTACCAATTTCAGTGGACTGAGGAAAAATTGTATTTTCATGGAAATTTGATATCATGGTTTTGCAGAAGTTCAGTAAAACTAGATTTCAGTCAGATTGTCTCACCTCATCAATTCTGACTTCAGTAGCCATCCATTTTTTTTTTTATAATTTTCATGATCTTTTCATAAAAGGTATTGAATACATTTTTTTTTTTAAAGTTTCTGAATATAAATCTGAATATTCAAATTTTTCATCTCTTTCACACATAGCCTATATTATGAACACACATGGCTTATAATATACATATATTATGAACACACATATACAATAATATGCAAACACAAACCTTGGTTCATAACAAGAAAGACATTCTGGTTTTGGGTAATCATGTGTAAAAAACCCTTCTGCAAATCTTTTTGCCTACAGAAAATACAAAAAGTTATAAAGTTTTTTATGAGAGGCTACGGTAAGAAGATGTAATGATATGATAGCTATGGATTATCACCGAACAATTATGTAAAATAACATTTTATGTATATATGATAGTACAAAGTTTGAAACATATACCTTTAAATCGGTGAAAGACGATGGTCTTTATAGTAAGTTTTATATTAAATTTTCATTTTTTGTTTACCAATTTTAATGGGATCAGTATTTCTTCCAACTTAAATAAGATTTCTGTAAACCATTAATAAAACTAAAGGCATCTATAATCCCAAAATTTTGCATTCGTTTTGTAATCAGGATTCAGAAATAAAAAAACAAACATGAGGTAAATCTGTCTTTAAAAAAAATACTCCAAGATATAATAAACTGTTAACACAGAGATATGTCTCGCCTATTTGTTATTTTGATAATGCAAATGTTGAAATTAAAATAGCAATACTTTAACATGTAAGTTATGCAAATATTCAAAGTCAATGAACCATGACTGAAGGTACAGGGCCTAAAAATCTCCAGAGAAATGACATGTTCCAATGCTAATACAACTGCAAACCAAATACCATTGACTTTTCATAAGTCGTTCCCTTTAAACAAACCTAAACACAAACATTAACTTGTAAACTATGTAAAAGTTTCAAAGCCAATGAACCATAATTAGGGGGTGGGGTTATATAATCTCCATGGAAATGAAACTTGCAAATGCCAAAACATTTGCATACGGAATATCATTGACTTAACATTAGTGGTTCATCTTAAACTGACCTGATCACAAACTAATACATGTAAACTAAGCAAAAGTTTCAAAGTGAATAGACCATGACTGAGGGGTAAGGACCAAATATTATCCATGGAAATGAGATGTGCTAATGCTTATACAACTGCATACCAATTATCATTGACCTACCACTAACGGTTCCCCTTAAACTGACCTAATCACAAACTAATACATGAAAACTAAGCAAAAGTTTCAAAGTCAATAGACCATGAGTGAGGGGGCGGGGCCAAAATATCTCAATGAAAATGAGATATGCCAATGCTTATACAACTGCATACCAAATATCATTGACCTACCACTAGTGGTTCCCCATAAACTGACCTAATCATAAACTATTACATGTAAACTTAGCAAAGTTTCAAAGTCAATAGACCTTGACTGAGGGGGCGTGGCCATATAATCTCCATGGTAATGAGATGTGCCAATGCTAATACAACTGCATATCAAATATCATTGACCTACCACTAGTGGTTCACCATGAACTAGACCTAATCACAAACTAATACATTGTTGACGTCACCGCCGGAAACAGCATACCTTTGTCTGGCTTTTTGACTCCGTCAAGGCGAGACAAAAACTTACATAGATACATGACTTATCATAAAACAGTACCATCACCAAACAATTTTCACACTTTTTTTCCTTTCCATTGAAGCAGATTGTATTTTTTAATCATAAAATGCTGGGAGACATACAGAAACTGGTTACATGTTAATAATCAAAACCATTTTCTCACCAATACTTTCTTACAACATAATGATTTTCACTGTGGAGAACATATAAAATATTTCTAAAAATAATCAGATTCTACATAATTTTTACATACACTGAAATAAAACGAAACAAAATGCAGAAAGTTTAAAACATCTTTCAAATTAATTTCTACCAGGGTAATCCAAATATCTACCACCTAGTGATTCATATCAGTGTAAATGAGTACCAATGGCCAACTTTATTTTGATTCAAAATTGAAAACTTCAATGATATAAACATATTTAAGCGTATTTATGCATCCCTGGCTTTCAAATGTTCAGGTTTGAGCATTCCTGATGAAGATAAATCCAGAAAAGCATTTGGACGAACGAAATTTATTAACTGTTTCATGCATCAGTATTTAAAAACTAGAAGAACTATAAAATAATATTCATACTGACAACTTTCATTATAATATTTCATCTGCAAATTAAAAAAAAAAATTACTATGGCATTATAAAGTACTGTGAATTCATTGATTTTTGTTTGTTTCAATTTTGGTGGATTGAGGAAAAATTGTATTTTTGTGGATACTTGATTTTGTGGTTCTGACAAATTCTGCATACAAGCCTTTTGGAAATCTTTATCTTGTTGAATATCTAAATTCATTGTTTAAAAATACTCATGAGATCCACATAACTGAGTATCCCTTGAATAATAATGAATTCACATTAACTTTTTGGGACTGTATGTTTAAAACTATTGTATATTTATTAGTGTTGTACCCTAGAAGTATGATGTTCCTGAGTCAGTAGATGTAGAACACTTCTGTCTAAAGCTACCACTTCTACAAACTGGAACCACAAGTTGACATTCTCTGCACAAAGCTGTGTTACATCTGTTGTGGCCTTGTTAATCAGGTCTTCTTCGTTGTCAAAACACTGAAATGAAGTACAAAATATATCTTAAAGCTGAGTTCTCTAAAGGCTTAGTAAATTGAACAAGACAAGATAAAAGGATTACTGATCTGGCATGGAGATATGAATATGAACTTCTGCTTGACAGAGGTTGATTCCTTTTATCAAACAAGAATTTAATCAGTAATGTGCATTATGCATTATAATTTTTTTTTCACATGGACATTAAAATTTTTTCATCATATATAGTTCAAGTTGATTTTGTAGACAACTACTAGCCTATACTTATCTTTAAATTCCTACAATATACATATATATTTTCTACAGTCTGATCATTTCTAATTCGCCAACATTTTTCATCTGAATTAACAGATTACACCTCCATAGAATTTTGAATAATTTGAGGTACTTTTTAATTCAATGAAGTTTCATACTGATTTCACAGCTTTAACATCACGTAACCAATAATCAATGCCTCAACTATAATAAATCAACTGTAAAATTAACCTTCTACATGTTCTAACTAACAGAAAGTAATCGATAAGTCATGTTTATGTTAAAGTAAAATCACATTATTTCAATTTCATAACCTAACTAGGATCACTGATTCATGAAACTTAGTTCATAGATTACCAGAAAAAAACACAATGATTGATTGATTGTTGGTTGATTAATGTCCAGTGGCAAATATTTCATGCATGTTCAGACACAATGTAATGGTTACACATTCAAAACACTACAAACTCTGCATATCAAGAAAACAGCACTATTAATTAAGAGATATACAGGTAAATACATCTTTAACTCAAACAGATGAAAAAGGAGCAGTTAAGAACAAAACTACTTAGTTTTCATCTATGGTTTAAACTATCTACAATTGACTTTTTATTTTTGTTTCCTTTTCTTTCATTTTAAAAAAAAAATTTCCTAGAGATATAAATGTATGTGTATTTAATCTTAAGTGAACAAACTTTAGAGGTTTCAAAAAACAATTGCTACTTTCTGAATACTCAATTTCATTGTTTTAATACCTGCTAAATACATAGTAACTAATAATTTAAATTTTGTTGTTATCTAGTACAAAATCCAATAATTACCTGTTATCTAGTACAAAATTCAATAATTACCTGTTATCAAGTACAAAATCCAATAATTACCTGTTATCTAGTACAAAATCCAATAATTACCTGTTATCTAGTACAAAATTCAATAATTACCTGTTATCAAGTACAAAATCCAATAATTACCTGTTATCTAGTACAAAATTCAATACTGTAAATTCAGAAATTATTGTGTGCATTTTTTATTGCGATTTTGTCATTTTAGACTAAAATGCGATTTTAATTTTTGCGATATTGAGAAAAATCCTGTTTAATTTATATAAAAAATTTCAAAATGCGAGTTTAAATTATTGCGATTATTACCATGTCGCATTTTTCGCAATAATAAAAACATCGCAATAATTTCTGAATTTACAGTAATTACCTGTTATCAAGTACAAAATCCAATAATTACCTGTTACCTAGTACAAAATCCAATAATTACCTGTATACTATCCATTATCTAGTACAAAATCCAATAATTACCTGTATACTATCCATTATCTAGTACAAAATCCAATAATTGCCTGTATACTATCCATTATCTAGTACAAAATCCAATAATTACCTGTATACTATCCATTATAATCTCAAGACGTCGATGACAATTCATGTGTTCTGAAATTGAATGAAAAATAAAAAGTAAGTTTTAATACTTAAAGAATTTATCAAAATGTATCTTCAATCTCAAGACGTCGATGTAAAATTCAGGTGTTCTGAAATTGAATGAAAAAAAAAACGGTAAGTTTTAATTCTCACAGAATTTATTAAAATGCATCTTCAATCTAAAGACGTATATGATTCATGTGTTTTGAAATGGAATGAAAAAAAAGAGTAAGTTTTAATTCTCAAAGAATTTATCAAAATGTACCTTTAAAGAAAAATTAAACATCATAAATGAACAAACATTATGTATGCTGGAGTAAAACATGTGTCCCATAAATTCTTTACAATAGCAATGAAAATATACATAATTTTTAGCGCTTATTTCAACAAAAGTATGAGAGTGGCTTTGAAGGCACTCATCATGCATATATCCACCCATTAAAACAATTTATTTCTTGTTCTTTAAATTATTGTCCAGAAAATTTGCATGATCAACTGCTTGGCAATTATATTTAAATTCATTTCTTGCTTGCTTTACTGATCATGGTCGAATTTTATAATTTGAAAGTCTTAATGATGAAGGTTTAATGACACGTAATCATGTGAGTTCATCAAACTAAAAAATAATTGGTGTTGCCTCAATTGATATATTTGTGAGTAATACAATAATATTACCAAGTTTAAAGATGGAATTTCTCATTGTCTTGAGGTACAATTCAAATGTTGTCTGCAAACTTTCATAAGCGGATAATAAAACAGTACAAAGCTTCCTGTGAACGTTGAAAGCTGTATGTAATCTAACTGTATCATTTCTTGAATAATCCTACAAGAAAATTATAGAAATATTATCAAAGTATGAGTGGCCAAAATATACAACAGGCTACTTGTCGATCTGATGAGTCAAGTCCTTTCCAACAGTTTGTTCTTATTTAGTACTGTTACACCACTGTCGGGCCAACAGTTTGTTCTTATTTAGTACTGTTACACCACTGTCGGTCCAACAGTTTGTTCTTATTTAGTACTGTTACACCACTGTCGGTCCAACAGTTTGTTCTTATTTAGTACTGTTACACCACTGTCGGTCCAACAGTTTGTTCTTATTTAGTACTGTTACACCACTGTCGGTCCAACAGTTTGTTCTTATTTAGTACTGTTACACCACTGTCGGTCCAACAGTTTGTTCTTATTTAGTACTGTTACAACACTGTCGGTCCAACAGTTTGTTCTTATTTAGTACTGTTACACCACTGTCGGTCCAACAGTTTGTTCTTATTTAGTACTGTTACAACACTGTCGGTCCAACAGTTTGTTCTTATTTAGTACTGTTACACCCTGTCCCGGGTTAGAGCACTCACAGACATGTTTAAAACCACCACATTCTTTATGTGCCTATCCCAAGTCTGGAGCCTGTAATTCAGTGGTTTTTGTGTGTTTTTGTCCGTCATATTTGTTTTTTGTTTGTTTATTGCTTTAGCATGATTAAGGCATTTAATTCTCTTTAGAGTTGCATTTTGTCATGTCTGAGCCTTTAATAAATGACTGTACAGTCACGTTTTTGCTCATGGTTTGGAGCCCATACAGTGATCTATAATTGCTAACATCCACATTATAAAGTCCCTGATGTCTCTGGCAACATCACTTTATTTTTTTTATATATATTCAAAACTGCACATAACATGCAGATGGAATATGATAAGTGTCATATTTCTTTAAGTAATACATTACATAATGTTCCTGTAGTTAATGTTTTGCTAACAAAGTTAACTTATAGCTGACAATGCCTTACCCCATACTGTGCTGCTGACCCAAAGTAGACCATTTCTATACTGTTCTCTCCGGGTCCATTCTTAGTCCATGCTGATTTTGGTGGTCTTGGTAAGCTGCAATGTTATTTTCCAAATATTGAATTATCCTTCAAACAAAACTTATTTCCCACATTTGAAATCATACTGATAATTATTATCATTCAGAATTTGCACTGAATGAACTTTCAAAATGTGTGCCCCCCCTTATATTACCTTTCCATTATGTATCTTGAGTTCAATAAATGTCTTATTTTGTTTTTTATCCTTGTAGTCTGGAGGAAGACATGTCACCCTAACTGGAAACAGTATTCTGTCTCCAAGCCAAACACTTTGCTCTTACTTCTCAATACTGGGTGCTCAGCAGAGAAGCAGCAAATACCAATTTTCAAGAATTTAACTTTGACCTGCCCCAAGGCTTGAACTGATGACCTGACTGACTTGATGTTAGCATGCAATCACAAGACAACAGATATGTTTCATTGCAATTAAGGTTGTCAACAGTTGATATTGAAGGTTGATGTAGACCTATAGACGTATTTACACTTGTATGCAAAATTGTCCACCATTACTTAAAATCACACAAGTTCCCTTTAAATTTGACATCACAATTAAAAAATTTGACGTCAATGTCATAATTAAAAAGTAATTGTTGCTTGACATCAGAATAATATTCAGAGACAGATCTAATGTCATTCAGAGACAAAATTCAGCTAAATATCAAGAGTGTAAATATGTCTAATAAATAGCAGTATCTCATATCTCTGCCATACATAACTTACGTAATTGCAGGTTGGTGTAGACCTATAAGTGTGCCATGTACAGTTGTATCTAAGGCACATAAATGAAAATAATCAAACAAAACTGGAACATGATGATGTATGCCTTTAGTTGGACTGAAGTGAAGTGACAAGGTCCTGGATGTAACAGACTCCATTTTGTCCTGTAAGGCACCAGGCCTAAAATCAAGAAATACATTTTATGTTAATTTCATTAAATTTAAAGTGAACTTTTTTATTTAGTTTTTTCAATCCATGATTAAATCTTTTTTCTTTGCAGAAATGATTATGCCTATTACAGCATATATACTTGGAGTACAAAGAACATTGATGTTTTTCTTGTTTCCCTGTTACCATAAAACCAATACAACCATTGATAACAACTGGATGATAGAGTAACAGTTGAGTAGTTCCCATGAGTCAATCAAATTGTGGTATGTGTAACAAAATAATGACTTAAAAAAACTTTTGGATCAATTTTTTTTCTATCTTTAAATGCAAAAGTATCTAATGATCACCAAACAAAGCAGCCAACAATGTGGTTGTGGTATGCTGTAAATACTACACGGACGGTCTTAAGAATGAAATTTTGAATTCATCTACATTCAAGTCCATGCGCCCCACAGAGAGTCATATAGTTAAAAAACATATCATAACCACATCACAGCTTAAGGCTTCTTCTGAACATTTGAAGGTCCCTACTATGTATTGGGTACCTAACTACACAAAAAACCAGTAAAATATTGTTTCATCTCGGCCTCTAGTAAGTGTTCTACAACTAATCTTTCAGTGCTTTTAACAAGTTCCTTAACTACTATCAAAGAGCTTATCATAAACTATTGTAATAAAATATATGAAAATAGTGGAATTAACTATTATTAGTGTAAAAAATTCTTTGGATTCTTTAGATAAATTACGTGCTTTTGATGGTCCTTTTGATTCTGTTTACAGTTTTGACTTTTCTACTCTTTACACAACACTTCCACACAATCTTATCAAACAAAAATTTGACTATTTAATTAAATGGTTGTTTGGTAAATCTGAATGCAAATATATTTGCTGCAACTCATTTAAAGCCTTCTTATCTTTTGAGAAAGGTAAATATGCTAGATATACTTACTGGAGGTGTGATGAGATGATTGAAGCTGTTAATTTTCTCCTTGATACTATTTATGTACGTTTCAGCACAAAAGTTTATTGACAGGTTGTAGGTATTCCTATAGGCACTTATTGCGCCCCTTTAATAGCAGACTTGTTTTTGTACTGTTATGAATCACAGTTTATGACCAAACTCAGTAAAGACCAGTCTAAATTCCATTTAATTGATAAATTCAACAACACTTACCGTTATCTTGATGATATTTTTTCGTTAAATAATCAAGAATTTTCCCAATATACTGCCGAAATTTACCAAAAGGAACTTACTTTAAATAAATCAAATTTAAACTGTAACAACTGTCCTTTCCTAGATTTAGATATTTCTGTTTTACACGGTAAACACCACACTAAAATGTACGACAAAAGGGACGATTTTTCGTTCCCTATTGTTAATTTTCCCTTTTTGGATGGTGATGTTCCTTTGGCACCATCTTACAGTGTTTATATTTCACAACTCGTTCACTATGCCCATGTCTGTTGTGACGTTTTTGATTTTAACGAACGTAATCTATGTATTACTGGTAAATTATTAAGCCAGGGATTTCGTTACCACAAATTACTTAAAACCTTTACTAAATTCTTCCACAGATATAAAGATTTGGTTTTGAAGTTTGGTTGTACCTGTAGAAAACTTATTTCAAACGGGATTGCACATCCTCATTTTTACAGCAATATTGTTTACCGTGCCCGGAAATTTAGAAACGATCCTGGTAAACATATCAATCCTTTAAATAAACTTATTCTGAAAGGTTACCAATTCAACACTGTAATCAGATCATTAAATATTGTTTTTATTGGTACTGATATTGATTTTGTTATCAGTAAATTAAAAGCAAACTAAATGTTATTGTTATATACATATACACATTCATGGATCTACAACCTGTTGATACCTGTATCTTGGCATTGCACAAGGTCATGTTTTTCTCTGACTGTTTATGACGTCTTTACACTAAATCCATTGGATGTTGGATGTGTAAGGATTGATAATTTAGTCTTAGATGCATGATTTTTGTTATTAGTTGTTAGTGGCTTTGAACTAGCTGTCAGTAACTGCGAGTACTCTCAGATCAGTACTTAGTGTCTTTTTGTTGTTTGGACGTACTAGTACCCGGCCAGGTCCACTTGTATTTGTAGTATTTGTATCTTTATCCATCTGATGAGTTAAGCCTCTTTCAACTGATTTTTATAGTTCGTTCTTATGTTGTACTGTTACACCACTGTCCCAGGTTAGGGGGAGTGTTGGGATCCCGCTAACATGTTTAACCCCGCCACATTCTGTATGTATGTGCCTGTCCCAAGTCAGGAGCCTGTAATTCAGTGGTTGTCGTTTGTTTATGTGTTACATATTTGTTTTTCTTTCATTTTTTGTACATAAATTAGGCCGTTAGTTTTCTCGTTTGAATTGTTTTACATTGTCATTTTGGGGCCTTTTATAACTGACTGTGCGGTATGGGCTTTGCTCATTGTTGAAGGCCGTACAGTGACCTATAGTTGTTAATTTCTGTGTCATTTGGTCTCTTGTGGAGAGTTGTCTCATTGGCAATCATACCACATCTTCTTTTTTATATGTAAACTTAAGTTGTAAGTTTTATGCACAAAGTACACACCCAATATAATTTAGCTGTAATATTGTAATAATAAATACCCTGCATCTTCTTCTGAAAACCATAATTCTAGAACCAGTTGTAAATCTAATTTCTCTAGACATTCTTCTATCTGTTAATACAAAAACAGACACATATTATGTCAAACTTATTGTCTACAACACAGATATTTAGTTGCAGATTTTTTTATAACCCTTTATTTATTTTATTCAACCTTATGCACTACTTTGACCGAATCTTAACTGGTTTTAAAACTATAGAATTTTATGCAACGTAGTAAAATTTATTCTTTAGCACTTAACCAGTTGTTGGTCAAAATTTAACAAATACTGTAAACATGGACATTCATGCTTATTTTGTTATCTTGTAAAATATGTAAAAAATGGTTTGTAGATAATAGCAATATTGTTATGCAGAAGGAATCTATTGTTGATGCACAAATTTAATCTCCATGCCAAATATTTGTGCATTGAAATTGAAAAAATAACATCATATACAAAAGTTAAGCTTTTCTTTAGGTTGTCATACATAAAATAAACAGCTGCACCATGAGCGCATGATACGCCCGTCGTCTTGTGTGTGATTTTTTATGCAATAATCATAAATAGTTTCTGACATACCTTGCGACATGTGAAAAACCCCCTTTTTTTTACAAAAAACTCAATATCTCTAAAAAAAATTTGAATCAAAACCAAAAAGTATACAGATCTTAAGATTAATATAAAAAAGAAGTGTGTAAAATTTTAAGCAATAATCATAAATCGTTTTTGAGAGACGGCGCGACATGTGAAAACCCCCTTTTTAAAAAAAAAAAAATCAATATCTCTAAAATAAAATTTTGAATCAAAACCAAAAAAGTATACATATCTTAAGATTAATATAACTAAGAAGTGTGTAAAATTTTAAGCAATAATCATAAATCGTTTTTGAGATACGGCGCGACATGTGAAAAACCCCTCCCCCTTTTTTTACAAAATACTCAATAACTCAAAAATAAAATTTTGAATCATCACCAAAAAGAATACAGATCTTAAGATTAATATAACTAAGAAGTGTGTAAAGTTTTAAGAAGAAATGTGTAAAGTTTTAAGCAATAATCATCAATTGTTTTTGAGATACGGCACGACAAGGGAAAAAAAACACACACCTGTTTTAGTTACTAAGTCCCGTAACTCAAAAAGTTTTAATCTTATTTTCACCAAAAAGTATACAGATCGTTTGACCATCATAAGAAACAACTATGTTAAGTTTCATGAAATTTGGATAATTCGTTCTCAAGTTACGGTGCAATATGTTTACGCCGGACAGACAACATTTGTATACCATAATATGTCCCGTCAAAATTTTGACGGGCGTATAAAAAAAACATGCGTCACATTTTGGCTTTTGGACAGCAGGGTGCAGTCAAATTATATTTTCCTATAAACTTGAGGCCCTAAACTGAAGAGCCTGTGTCACTCACCTGTATCTTCAACAATAGCCAATTTTAAGTAAAAAACATTATTAAAGTGGAATAACTCTATTGAGAGTTAACTGACAATTTCACTCAATTTCATGTTGACATATTTGTACATCTTATCCTGTTGATAATTTTTCCTTTTCAAAGTTTCTATTTATCTATTATAGATCATATTAAGATGAGTCAAAAAATGCATAAAAATTTTCAAGATTATCATTAATTGGCAATAACTCCAATAAAGAGTCATCTGAAGATTTCGACAATTCTGGCTTATTTGTAGATCTTGTCTTGCTGATCATTTTTGCTTTTAAAGGGGCACTAGCTGTCAAATTCATGTTCACCCATTTGACTCAAATTCTCATATTTGATTAATAACCATGCAAAACAGTTATCCAAATTATAATAAAATGCTCCGCAGGGCGCAGCTTGATACGACCGCAGAGGTCGAACCCTGAACAGTTGGGGCAAGTATGGACACAACATTCAAGCTTGATACAGCTTTGCATTTGGATTGTGATTAAATATTTGACACAGAATGAATGTGGTCTAAGAACTTAAAAATTTTAAATTGGACATTCACCTATTATGGTCCAATATCCAAAATCTAAATACATGGTTAGATTCAGCATATCAAAGAACCCCAAGAATTCAATTTTTGATGAAATCAAACAAAGATTAATTTTGGACCCTTTTGACCTCAATGTGGACAAAGTAGATAACGGGGCCCAAAAATCAAAAATCTAAATACATGGTTAGATTCAGCATATCAAAGAACCCCATATATTCAATTTTTGTTGAAATCAAACAAAGTTTAATTTTGGACCCCAATTTGGACCAACTTGAAAACTGGGCCCATAATCAAAAATCTAAATACATGTTTAGATTCAGCATATCAAAGAACCCCATATATTCAATTTTTGTTGAAATCAAACAAAGTTTAATTTTGGACCCCAATTTGGACCAACTTGAAAACTGGGCCCATAATCAAAAATCTAAATACATGTTTAGATTCAGCATATCAAATAACCCTAAGAATTCAATTTTTGTTAAAATCAAACTAAGTTTAATTTTGGACCCTTTGGACCTCAATGTGGACCAATTTAAAAACGGGGCCCAAAATCCAAAAAATAAATACACGGTTAGATTCAGCATATTAAAGAACCCCAAGAATTCAAGAATAAAACCCCATTGAAATTGGTCAAGAAATAAGCAATTTATACGAAGTATCTTCTTTTGCACAATACTGTGCAATTAAATATTTCTTGCTATTGCGCAATACTGTACAATTGACAATTTCTTGCTATTGTGCAATATTGTGCTATTGGATATTTCTTGCTATTGCGCAATACTGTGCAATTAAAGATTTCTTGCTATTGCGCAATACTGTGCAATTGAAGATTTCTTGCTATTGTGCAATACTGTGCAATTGAAAATTTCTTGCTATTGCACAATACTTATTATATAATAATTTACACATCCTGTTTGGTGTGTATCTCCTACCATATCATTATTATTTGCTTTTAAATATAAATCAGAAATAACCAACTTAAAATGGAAAATTTTAAAAGAAACAAAAAGGAAAAAAAAAAAATCCCCCCCCCCCCAAATTTTTGAACCCCCTTATGATTCATCACCCCAAAACTCAATCCCAGCCTTCCCTTTGTGGTATGGAACCTTGCAGTACAATTTCAGAGAGATCCATACACTTGAACACAAGTTTTTGTCTGGAAACTAGAAAAATGTGTTTTTTGGCCCCTTTTAGGCCCCAAATTCCTAAACGCTTAGGGCAATTACCCCCAAACTCAAACCCAGCTTTCCCTTTGTGATATGAAACCTTGTAGTACAATTTCAGAAAGATCCATACACTTACACACAAGTTATTGTCCTGAAACTAGAAAAATGCTTGTTTTTTGCCCCTTTTTGGCCCCTAATTCCTAAAATATTGAGGCAAATACCCCCATCATCAATCCCAGCCTTCCCTTTGTGGTATGGTACCTTGCAGTACAATTTCAGAGAGATCCATACACTTGAACACAAGTTATTGTCTGGAAACTAGAAAAATGCTTATTTTTGGCCCCTTTTTGGTCCCCAATTCCTAAACGTTTCGGCAATTACCCCCAAACTCAATTCCAGCTTTCCCTTTGTGATATGGAACCTTGTAGTACAATTTCAGAAAGATCCATACACTTACACATAAGTTATTGTCATGAAACTAGAAAAATGCTTTTTTTTTTGCCCCTTTTTTGGCCCCTAATTCCTAAAATTTTGAGGTAATTACCCCCAAAATCAATCCCAGCATTCCTTTTGTGATATGGAACCTTGTGGTACAATGTCAGAGAGATCCATACACTAACACACAAGTTATGTCTGGAAGTTACAAAAATGCTTATTTTTGGCCCCTTTTTGGCCCCTAATTCCTTTACTGTTGGTACCATAACCCCCAAAATCAATCCCAACCTTCCTTTTGTGGTATTGAACCTTGTGGTAAAATTTCATAGAGATCCATTCACTTAAACTAAAGTTAGAGTGCGAAAACCAATGTGTCTTCGGACGACGCCAGACATCGACGACGCCAACGTCATACCAATATAGGACCACAAAAATTTTTTTGCGGTCGTATAAAAAGTCTAAAATAAACAATTAACAGGGCATGGGCTCGATAATATGTAGCTTTGTTTCGTGTGTATTTTAGTCTTGACGCCATCTAATTAACTATCGAGTTGACCTCCAAAGACCTAAGCGATATAAACATAAATATAGATATAAATAGAAAGTAAACTCGTGCAATTGGATTTTTCTAGGTCTGTTTAATTTCATATTATAGATTAAAAATATATGTTAATCATTGTTTTTACCTGTATAAGAATGATTTGTTGTGGATCTAACCAGTCAATCAAATGATTTACCTTTGTTTCAATTTCAATGTTGACATTCTTTTCCTTTAAATAACCAAATACGCACAATTCATGCGGTATCCATCTCTAGCTAAGGGGTTAAATTAAAGTTCACATGAATACTGATTCAATTGTTTGAATTATTCACTTGCAATAACTCATCATCAATGTTTTTTAGCTTAATTTGACAAAATTTAATCATACTGGCTGCTAAAAGCGAATTATTATTTCACTATTTCAATTTTATTAATGTTTAAACAGAAAAAATCATACTTTAGATTTTTTATATATCTCGTAGCTAGTGCCCCTTTAAAGTTTCTATCTATCTTTTATAGTTTTTATGATATAAGCCAAAATGCAAAAAAAATGGTGAAAATCCTCATTAAAGGATTTCAGCTATGCTGACTAACATGTAGATCCTGTCATGCTGTTCATTTTTGCTTTTTAAAGATTTTATCTATCTATCATATCATATAAGATATTAACAATAACACAAAAAATTTGGTAAAAATCATAGTTAAAGGGCAATAATAAGGAGTCGTCTTACATTTTTGGTCATGATGAATTTTTTATCGATCTTGTCATGCCAATCATTTTTGCCTCTTAAAAGTTTCTGTCTATCTATCTATAATAATTTTCGGGATAACAGGCAAATATTTGTAAAAATGGTAGAATTTATCATTTAAGGTCAATAACTCCTATAAGAAGTCCTCTTACAGTTTTGACTTAAATGGACAATAGGTAAAGCTCAACATTCTAAACATTTTTGAATAAAAGTTAACAGAAGTCGACAGAAGACGGACGCCAAGTGATGAGAAAAGCTCTCTAGGCCCTTTGGGCTAGGTGAGCTAAAAACACATCTGAATGCAAATCCAAACAATTCAAACATGTAACTTCAAAACAACCATGTCAATTATGGAATTTTTAAAAGGACAAAAAGATACATACAAATTAACCTACCTTACTGCTGTCTATAATAGTGTGAAGTCTAAAAGATATCAAATCATTTATGGTAACATCTTCATTACGATACAAGATTTGAAAAGTTTTGCTGATCGCTGATCCACTACTGACACAAGAGGGCAGCACTAATGTTTCACCTAGAAAAAATAAATATCCTTTCTCAAGTATTACTAGATCACATTCATATCATCTGGTAAGCCAGCTATGCCAATAGTCAAGAACAATAGTTCAGATGCTGTGAAAGTTTTATAACATTCTGTCTAACCGACAAGGAGCAGTAGCCTATATAAAAAGCAGGACAATAGGATGAATAGCTGATGCAAAAAGTGGGTCAGAAAGATGAACAGACTAATTTGTTTCATGCAGCAGTAACTGGATACATTTCACATCATCATGTATATCAATGATAATTTACATTGCATATATGTCATGTATGTATTTAACATTTACTTTCTTATGACCTTGATTTGATAAATAGGTCAAAGTGATGGCTTTTTAAATGTACTTTTATAAATGGGCCTCTTTGTCTTACAGACAAATCTCCTCATCTATTTTTGTAAATCAGCAATAAATAACAAATACAGTATATTGTGTTAAATAAAGGCTGAAGAAAGACCAGACAGATAATTAACAGATAAAAAGTTAGGTGTCAAAATTGGCAATAAATACTGTACTATAATTACCCTAATAATCTAAAATGAGAAAACACTTACATATATATATATATATTTAGAAATATTATGCTTTCTAAGTGAAATCAATCTATACTTACCACTCCCTCAGTCATGTATTAATTACACATATTATGACTGAATCGTTATTGACTTAACTTGGTGTACAAACTATGCATGATCAATAAAGAATTACAACTTGATAGGGGCTTCAGTGACCCAGTGGTCTAAGTAGTACGTCTATAGTGATCACTAGCTAGCCTGTCAAATATGAGGTTTTGAGTTTAAACCCCACTCTTGGCAAATATGTTGGACTCATATCTTAATTGACTAGGATTGCCAGGGTCCTGCCAAGGATGGTGGTTCTCTCCTGGTAATAATAACATTAACGGTACCTACTTTTATGTACCAGATGCTCATTTGGACAATTAATGTCTCTTCAGTGATGCTCGAGACCAAAATATTTGTAAATCCAAAAACCAATAAAAAAGTTGGAAGAGCTGATCGAAACAAAAAGGACCCTAAAGTATTGCACTGTAATCTGTGCTTCCTTCACCAATAAACACTGGCATCAGTGCTGAAAGTGGCATAAAAACACCACAATCAATCTTAACATAATAATTTCATTTTCAATGAAAATTTGGGGAATTTTTATTAACAGGAAGATGACTTTTTAGGGAAGCTATAAAGATTCTAAAATAATGCAAGTTGGTGTTGAAATAAAATGATTTTATATTCATCAGGTATTTTCACATATTTATTATGTGATTCATATATATTAAATAATGAACTGAACTTTAATAAAACCTTGATAATGGGGTTTTCTGCCTCCCTACTTATTCTAAATTTTCACAACTCTAACATATTTTATGGACACTTTTGGCCATTGTATTATGTTCAAATATTTTTTTTAGCAGTGTTTTAGTCCAAGAAAATTTTCTATACAGTCTATGTAAATTATTTTTCGAAAAATAAAATAATTTTAAATACCTACGTACCTACCCTATGGTTTTCTGCCATCAGACGGACAACCATTATACATTATAGAAAATTGCATATTAATTTTTCATTATGCTCTGTGTGAAATATTATCTTGCTATACAATGATTGTATAAACAGTAGACGTATTTATACCTTTGGTATTTAGTCGAATTTTGTCCCTGAATGACCATGCATAGATCCTTCTCGAAATAACCTTCTGATGTCAAGCAACAATCACTTTTAATTATGACGTCAAATTTTTTAAATTGTGATGCAACATTTAGTGGGAACTTGTGTGATTCTAATTAATGGTGGACAAATTTGCATACAAGTGTAAATACGTCTAAGAAAGATGACTGAGCTGTTGATGTAATAAAATACTAGATCAAATCTAGTTACTCATGTCCCCCCACATATCTCTTATATCAACTAACCTGTAGCTTTAGGCAGAGTTACTTCAATCTTAGCAGGAACTCTTGCTGATGTTTTTAAAGTTGTCCTAATTTGGTAATATCTGAACATAAAGTAAATAAATGAATAGAAGCCCCTTAACACAGCAATATGACCATACAACACATGAGCATTGAAAATTACCAAAAAAAACTTTACACATTTCATGAAGTCCAAGGGCAGTAATTCTGGCAAATTCTGTCAACTTCCATAAGATTCTTTATTTTTACATCAAGACAAAGCTTTGAATTTTCAAAGGGTTTAAACTGAATCATGATGAGTCTTTCAATCATTGTGATATTTCATTACTTCACAACAAAACTTTGCAATCATAATTGCTTTTTACCAAATCACGACAAAGAAAGTTCTGCATTTGTTATAACTTTTCACTGGTCACTATACATATTTTCATTTTTTGTTACGTTTTTACTTAACCTTGACAAAGCTTTGCCATTTATGGTTTTAATGATATGATGACAAGGCCTTGGTTTGTTAATGGCTTATTGACCAAATCATGAAACAAAGCAAAACTTTACAGATTTTAACTAGATCATGACAAGTTTTAGCAATCCTTTCTGTCTTTTTTGCCAAATGATGACAAAGTTTAGGCAAAACCTTTTGGAATTTCGTGTCTTCAATGCTCTTCAACTTTGTACTTTATTTGGCCTTTAACTGTTTTGATTCAAGCATCACTGATGAGTGTTTTGTAGATGAAACATACGTCTGGCGTACACAAGTATAAGCCTGGTATCTTTGATGAGGTTTTTTTTATAATTTTTTAAGAATTTCACCTCATCATGATCATGATGATAAAGTTTTAAGATTTTGCATGTAGTTTAGAAGTTTAATGCCATGAAAAATAGGTTGTGTTTCCAGTCAGTTGATCTGTTTTAAAGGTTTTTTTTAACTTTCGGAATAAGCATAGTATTTGTATAAATAATTATGGAATGTGCTTGAAATTATTAGACTCAATATGAAGCATTTCATTTTAATGTACATGTTTCTCTGTTGATAATGATATTGGTAATAGTTATCATCATGTAAAAAAAATGATTTTTTACAGACCAAAATCTAGTTTGAGAAGGTCAGAATTGAAAGCATCATTATTTTTATGATCAGCAAGGCAAAACAATGAGAATGGGGTAAAAAAAAAATGAGGCATTATCAGCAATCTGTTTAAATACAGATCATGAATCCAAGCTTTGCTTACAAGGATCTGACAACACTCCATTTTACTTTCTGTTGTGGTAATTATTACATCAGCCAATGAAATTTCAGCCCTCAAATTTTTAAAGGTCTTCATTTTATCGACAAAACCTGAGGATCCCTATATATCTTTAAAACAGAAAGTAGAATGAGTGTTGTGAGATCCTTGTGAGCAAAGCTTAAACACAGGATCTGTATTTAATCATATTGCATTGTCAGGTGACTGGAAACATTTTTCTTCCTTTTGGCCTTACAACTATGACAACACACCATTTATGTAATCTGATATGACAAAACTATGGATTTTTTATTTTTTATGGCTTTATACCCAGTATAATATTTTACCAATGTTGATATTTTTCATCAGAATTTCAGTTGAGAAGTAAGAAGGAAAGTTTACCAATAACTGTTATCTCAACACATGTTGAAATTACAGATAAATCAGAACAAATCTAAAATCCCTTACAACTTTTACAAGATTTTCTCTATAAATAACAATTTCTTTTCACATACAGCTTGTTATAACAGGTACATATATACCTCTGATAAATGTTTTAATAGCATAACACATTTCCATTTATTTTCATAAAAAAAAAATCTTTCCGAAATATAAATCATGTATATATATACATAGATTATTTTTTTTACCCTGCACCAATCATTTAGAGTATAAAATGCATTTTTCTTTCAAAAGACTTGCACGTACAAATACTGAAATTATAATTTGTCCAATTTCTTTGACAAATACAATAAACAAAAATAAAGTATCATGTGTAAGTCCAATATGTTGTCATACACAAACATTCTTTACAGTTAGGACAAGAAAACAAATTAGATGACTTACCCTCTCTGAAACAGATCCACATTGTAAAATTTATGGAATTCAACCAGAAACTCTAAGATCGCTTGTAGTTCAGACATATCATCTGAAAAAAAGAAAATAAAGTTGTCTCATCACTCTTAAAACAAAAGCACATTCTCAGTAAATATCAAAATAAAGCTATATCATGTATAATTCTATGTCCATTTCCTGATTCATACCTATAATGATTATAATGTAGTTCATTTGAAAATTTGAATTGTAGGTGTATAAAATATACCGCTAGGTAATCCTATCTTGCTTCTCAGTATTCATGATGATCAAACAAAATGTCTAACACTGAGATCTGTTTTACAAAAACAAATATACTTGGTTAATTCTACGTGATAATGTTTTGTAATTTGTGAGTCTGATCAGGCCATTATCGTGGTTATAACAGTTTGTATAAAGGTAAGCTTTGTCATCGATACAATGAAATTAACAACACATGTAATTTACTGAAAGTTGTAGATATTCAATATCATCATTTACTTAGGATTATGGATTTTTTATTGTTAAGAATTAGGTCTGAAAGGTTAGGAATACTTAAAGAACGATAAAGTTTTGTTTTCCAATATATTACATGTATTATGAACAACCAATCAAAATCATGAAAATAAGTCATTCTGAAAGATGATTTATTAATTCTGGTACAGGTATTTCATCTGTTTGATGAGACAAGATTGATAATTAATTGTCCATTAAAACCTTAACCATGTTAACTGGAGTAAAGTTTACTAAAAGGTTTTTTCCATCTATCTAAAAATGTTAGACTGGTAATTTATAGCAAAAATTGTCTAATAAAACTTTTTGTTTACTTCATGGATCAATTCAAAAGAATAACTCCAAAAACATAAGATCTATTATGCATCAGCAGCAGAATAATGCATTTTTTTCAAAATCATACAATATATTTATTATTTGCAAAATCTATTTATACCACTTAACCATGTTAACAGGTTAAAATACAACTGCACACAACTCTTATTTGCAGGTACATGTAATGAATCTACAGGTTAAATATAACGCAAGGCTATATTATGTAAATTCTTCAAAAAAATCAATTCCAAACATGCCAAAGGAACCAAATCTTTCAAAAAATTTGGTCTAAAAGAAGCAGCTCAGAATCTGACCTTTGATGTAATAAGTAAAATTTGCCTTGCAGATCAGTAAATAGATATGACTTTTACCTTTTTACATCTATGTCGGTCTTTCTCTCCCAAACTTCTAATGTTAGCCACATTTTTATTGTCTAGTTAAAGTCATATGAAACTTCAAATTAAAAAAAAAAAGTTGAATATGTTTTATATACCGGGGTACTTGAATGGCTAATTAGTTGTATTATAAAACAAGTGTACATGGACTTTCTTGTGAAAGAAAATCCGTTATCTTATAAAAATCTTCAGAAATGTACTGCTATTGAATTATTGTCTTCCTGTATACTAATTCGTTGATATTCTTCCGTATGCGGTGACCTTAACTACGAGACCTCTCGTTAGAACTTAGGCCACAGCACAGCTCAAGTGGGAGGGAAAACCGTGATGACAGAATTTTAACAAAATTACACTGGAAGGTAAATAGTAATAATTGATTCCTATAGAATAAACTGTTATCACAGAGATATGTCTCACCTTTTTGTAATTTGATAGTGCAAAGGTTGAAATTAAAATAGCAATACTTTAACATGTAAGTTATGCAAATATTCAAAGTCAATGAACCATGACTGAAGGTACATGGCTAAACAATCTCCATGATGTGCCAATGCTAATACAACTGCATACTAAATACCATTGACTTATTATAAGTCGTTCCCTTTAAACAAACCTAAACACAAACATTAACTTGTAAACTATGTAAAAGTTTCAAAGTCATTGAACCATGATGAGGGGGCTGGGCTATATAATCTCCATGGAAACGATACTTGCAAATGCCAATAAATTTGCATACCAAATATCATTGACTTAACATTAGCAGATCATCTTAAACTGATCTAATCACAAACTAATCCATGTAAACTAAGCAAAAGTTTCAGTCAATAGACCATGACTGAGGGGGTGGGCCAAATATTCTCCATGGAAATGAGATGTGCTAATGCTTATACAACTGAATACCAATTATCATTGGCCTACCACTAATGGTTCCCCATGAACTGACCTAATCACAAACTAATCCATGTAAACTAAGCAAAAGTTTCAGTCAATAGACCATGACTGAGGGAGTGGGCCAAATATTCTCCATGGAAATGAGATGTGCTAATGCTTATACAACTGAATACCAAATAACATTGGCCTACCACTAGTTGTTCCCCATGAACTGACCTAATCACAAACTAATCCATGTAAACTAAGCAAAAGTTTCAGTCAATAGACCATGACTGAGGGGGTGGGCCAAATATTCTCCATGGAAATGAGATGTGCTAATGCTTATACAACTGAATACCAAATAACATTGGCCTACCACTAGTTGTTCACCATGAACTAGACCTAATCACAAACTAATACATTGTTGACGCCGCTGCAGTATCTGACGCTGGAAACAGCATACCTATGTCTCGCTTTTTTGACTCCATCAAGGCGACACAAAAAATTAAATACATAAAATCATTTAACAACAATTATTTCAAAGTCAATAAACCATGACTAAGGGGGCGGAGACAAATAATCTCAATGGAAATGAGATATGCCAATGCTTATACAACTGCATACCAAATATCATTCACCTACACTAGTGGTTCCTCATAAACTGACCTAATCACAAACTAATACATGTAAACTAAGCAAAAGCTTCAAAGTCAATAGACCATGACTGAGGGGGCAGGGCCAAATAATCTCCATGGAAATGAGATGTGCCAATGCTAATACAACTGTATACCAAATATCATTGACCTACCACTTGTGGTTCACCATAAACTAGACCTAATCACAAACTAATACATTGTTGACGCCGCTGCAGTATCTGACGCCGGAAACAGCATACCTATGTCTCGCTTTTTTGACTCCATCAAGGCAACACAAAAAATTAAATACATAAAATCATTTAACAACAATTATTGAAAAGTTTATTAACCACATAGGAACGCATAGAAAAATATAAAAAAAAATTAACAACGCTCTTTCAATTCTCTATTTTTCACATGCTCCATGTGCTTCTGTGTTGTTTATCGATGTCACGATACGGTAAACTTCGGCAACAAACTCGAAAGTTAATGAGCTTGCGATCAACTATCACTGAATGAAATATTATTTGTTAATTATACGTTATAGATCCAAAATATAAGCAAAAAACTTGCATACATGACTTAGTTTTGTAAATACATGATATATGCATGCATTGGTTCAATAATTTCCTGAACATTAAAATTTCTTTAAACTTGTTTCATATGACTTTAATGAGTAAAAAAAATCATGTTCTAATAGAGAGAAAAAAATTCCATACAAAAGGCCCATCTGGATTTAATCCCATCAATTTCATCTTCAGAAATGTTGGTCATTAATTCAAAGAAATTCTTTCCCTCTAATACTTTTTGAAAACCTTACTTTCTGACATAAAAAAATTTATGGCAAACTTTATTAAAGTTTTGTATAATTCAAGTATGTCGAATAAAATTCTATTTTCTAGCAAAAATGACTAGACAAAAACAATTTGAAATACATAAAATAAAGATAGTCCAACTTATTTAAGTACTTAAATATATTCATATGACAAAAATAAACACCAAAATCAATTCATATTTATATTATACAAGAGTGTACACGCTGAAATGTCTCGCCTTCTTTACTAACCATTTATATTATGTGGATAGTTCTAAATGAAAGCTTTACTACAACTATTACATAAACTTAACATGATCCAAGAAAATGAAGTCAAGGTCATATAAACCAAACGAGAAATACATGTACACCTTACAATTATTCAATACATAAAATATAGTTGACCTATTGCTTATAGTTTCTAAGAAACAGACTTAACCAAGAAAACTAAACATTGACCAATGAATCGTGAAAATGAGGTCAAGGTCAGATGAACCATGCCAGGCAGACATGAACAGCTTACAATCCTTCCATACAACAAATATAGCTGACCTATTGCTTATAGTTTAAGAAAAACAGACTGAAACACATAAACTTAACACTGAGCAATGAACCGTAAAAATGAGGTCAAGGTCAAAAAAAACCTGCGAGACTGACATGTACATCATAGAATATTTCCATACACCAAATATAGTTGACTTATTGCATATAGTATAAGAAAAAAGACCAAAACTCAAAAACTTAACTTTGACCACTGAACCATGAAAATGAGGTCAAAGTCAGATGACACCTGCCAGTTGGACATGTACACCTTACAATCATTCCATACACCAAATAAAGAAGACCTATTGCATAAAGTATAAGAAAAACGGACCAAAACACAAAAACTAAACTATAACCACTGAACCATGAAAATGAGGTCAAGGTCAGATGACACCTGCCAGCTAGACACGTACACCTTACAATCATTCCATACACCAAATATAGTAGACCTATTGCATACAGTATAAGAAAAACAGACCAAAACACAAAAACTTAACTATAACCACTGAACCATGAAAATGAGGTCAAGGTCAGATGACACCTGCCAGTTGGACATGTACACCTTACAGTCCTTCCATACACAGAATATACTAGACCTATTGCTTATAGTATCTGAGATATGGACTTGACCACCAAAACTTAACCTTGTTCACTGATCCATGAAATGAGGTCAAGGTCAAGTGAAAACTGTCTGACAGGCATGAGGACCTTGCAAGGTTCGCACATACCAAATATAGTTATCCTATTACTTATAATAAGAGAGAATTTAACATTACAAAAAATCTTAACTTTTTTTTCAAGTAGTCACTGAACCATGAAAATGAGGTCAAGGACATTGGACATGTGACTGACGGAAACTTCATAACATGAGGCATCCATATACAAAGTATGAAGCATCCAGGTCTTCCACCTTCTAAAATATAAAGCTTTTAAGAAGTTAGCTAACGCCGCCGCCGCCGCCGGATCACTATCCCTATGTAGAGCTTTCTGCGAC